GCCCGCTGCGATGTGAATGCTGTAGCCCCACGCTGGGAGCACAGCCCCGCGGGAGCCTCTGACCAGCAGTGCACCTATCAACAACTACTTTGACCTTCCACGTATTATTCACTGAAGTTTGTGAGTGAGGGAGGAAATTACCAAACATAAGGAGGGCGGATGGAAGGATGCAGGTTAATGCAGCTTGTGCGGCTTGTGTTAAGTCAGGGGTGAATGGATAAAGGAAGGAGCAAACATAAGGAAACCCTACATGAGATGAATTACAAATCTCATTATCTTCTCCTGATGAATGACAACCAGTCCGCTCTAAAAAAAAGAGCCCAATAAATTCTCTCAATTTCCCTTTGTAGATTGTTCTGCACTTTTAACTTTTCATATGCCATTCAAATAAAATCCTAAATACTAAAAGAATACTAAAATTATATTTGAAAATATGGAACATTTGCAGTTATTACATTACAAGTCTTGTAATCTTCATTTGTTCATGTATCTTGTGTTTTAACACCTGTAAATTGTGTAGGAGAGAGGTGACTTCAAGGTCACAGCAGGCAGACGCTTCTTTATTCAGAACCATCATGACTATATGCAGCTGATGTTGCAAAATAGTATTTTTTTCATTATGTATAGAAGTGAGGTGGTACTACAGCCAGACGGTGGCTGTAGTACATCTGAAAGCTGTTTGCTAGCCGCCATTACATGACAAAAGAAGTAGAAAACATTAGTGTCAGGGGACACAGCTGTAGCGTTATAAAGTGTAAAGATGATAAGAAACTTACAAATATTTGACTTTTGACCCCAGCTGAGGGTCAGAAAATGGAGGTTATTGGTGTTCTAAATTAAATAAAGAAATAAATCAGAGCCCGGCCCAACTTGTACGGGATAAGATCAGCAAAGAGATAAATTGCCACTCTTTGCCCAAAATTGTCATAACATTCAAGTTCCTCACAGAAGCTTTAAAATGAATCAACATCTGAAAATAAGCCATAGGAAAGTGAGGTGCAGACATTTACCTATTTCCCTGAAATGCAGTAAAGTAGAATAAGGATTTCTAGGAGCGCTGCAACTTATAAATTGTGCTCCAGAGTTAAATAAACCGGTGAAGAGTCTGAGGGCTGAGATAAGACTCTGCAAACTACATCACATCATGCAGGATGCAGCCTAAAGATAGGTGTGGGCGTCATCCGTTCCCATGATGTTTGATCCCTGACTGTCTGCATTCCCTGTGCTATATGTGACTTGTATAAGACGATAGTCATCGCTCGATACCAATGTGCTGATTTGTCTTTTCAAATCACACTAGGTATAAGTACTAGAGTATTTCATAAGCACATGAAATGGTTCAGGCTTTAAGAAAATACTCACAGTGGTTATGTCTAAACTTCAAGTTGGAGTAAAAGTACATCGATAATTCTCTTTAACCTCTCTTAACTTCTCCTAGAAACAAGAGGGATCAAAGCTGAATGACAAGCAAATCCAAAGTAGAGTGGTCTGACTGAATGGAGCAGAATTAAGTATTGTATTAAGCTGAGCAGCACACACACACACACACACACACACACACACACACACACACACACACACACACACACACACACACACGACCCGCACATGTACCAACTCAGTTCAACTCCCTGTGCTGCCATCACTGTGTGCGTCACCGTCCATCATAGAAGAGCTACATCCCCCAAAGTGACAGGACAAGAGCCTTTCAGATCTGATAAAACTGCAACATGAAACCTCGTGGCAACACATCATCGAGTCAAGACGCTCTGAGTAGTCTTTATTTTGCAGTTTTAATCGAAAATGACAGGAGGGCTTCACTTAATAGTTTGTATATTTCCAGGTCAAAGGGTAGAGTGTAATGGTTCCCCAATATATACTATATATATATATATACATATATATATATATATATATATATATATTTATCAATCACAGTGTGGACAGAGCATGGAGCAGGCATTATCCCAGAGAGATGAGAACTTTATGTGACAGGCTGTTAAGCAAGTTGTGACTCAGAATTTCACAGGTAGAGATTGAGTTATGAGTCATGGTGAATTTGGCTTAGAATTGTATACCTTCTTCTGAAATATATGTATAAATTCTGCCTCCGATCATAGTTGACAGCTGCACAAGATGGCATTTATAAATCTTGTAATATTCAAGGCATTAGAAGTAGAGCACATATTATGTTTCCCACTTGAAATAAATGTTTTAGAGTGATGAACGACCACAGTACACTGCTTGGTTTGAATTGTACCGAAATTAAAGCTTCAAAATTGTTATCTCCCAGAGTTTCAGGTCAAACATTTTAACGTTTTTATTTATTGATTTAAAGTTTAATTAATTGTATATTTCTGCTGTGGCCTTATCAGAAACAACAACAGCACACTATTAGCCTAGAGTGTCAAGTTAGCTTAAGCTAGCAAAACAAAAAAGTCGGAGTGTAACATTAGTTGAAGCTAGCAAAATGTCCACACACACTTGTTTTATGATTACACATTTGAAGCTGTTAAGTTGAAATAATTAGATCTAAATAGATTTCAATAATAACAAATCATTCCTTTGGCCTAAACAGCAATTCAATGTATTTTGGCTGCCACACATAACTACAGTTTAGGAGACGTAAATAATAACAGCAGACTGCTAGCTTAGACTGTAATGTTGGTTAAAGCTACCAAAATGACAACTCTAAAGGTTTTCTGATAACACGTTTTAAAACTATATATTTTTAAATACATTTTAAGAAAACGTCATTTTAACCATTTCAAACAGAAGGTAAATAAGTTGAATTAAAAACGACTAGTTTCTTCAACAATACATCCTTTAGCCAATATACAGAAAACTAGCTTAGCTTATTTTTAGGCCAGATATTCATATCCACATAGGGTTGTAGTATAGCCTACAACTTTTCAATAATGTGTATTTCTTTACTGCACAAGTTTAGCATGTGCAGTTGTTGAATACACATATTGTATCAGAGCATTTCTCATGAGAAGACAATAGATCATGAAGGACAAAATCAATACCTTCATATAAAGAATATGTGCATTATTACCCTATAATGACTTCCTTTACAGACAGCAGTGCCCTTGAGAAAGACATTGAATCCCGTAAAGCTGCTAAGGATCGTCTATGACCTCTGACCTTCCTGCGGGGTGGGGGGTACAGAGAGTATTTCCCTGCAGGGATTAATGAGGTATCACATTTACCGTGAGCACTTCTCAAGATTGCTCAGTGCAGTATCATATTATAAGGGATATTCCCTGGTTTGTAATAAAAATCTTTCTGTAAGTCAACACCCACAAGAGTCCATTCACCACTCATTAGTGCTTTTTGTGGGAATCATTGCTTTCCTGTCAAAATAATTAGTAAAAATTGACACTTAGCAGCAGGAAATTGCTGCATAGCACAGATTTTGTTCAAACTTTGAAAAACATTTTAAGCCAAATTATGTGTGCAGTCAGTCTTGAACACAGCAAAGTGCCAACGTTAATGAGTGCTGAGTTTCCACTGACTATTATATTGAGCTGACAAGTGTTGACTGGAGTGTTGTTGATTCACTCACAGTGCTGATCTGGCTCGGAGGCATCACATCAAAATTATTTAAAAGCATTAAATGAAGTCTGATGGCTGCCACAGAGGACAGTTAATGGATTGGAAGGATTCTTTGAGGCGCTCCCCCGTCCTTGTCGACCCCCTTTAACGCTCTCGGTAACATATGGAGATTTGCTCTCTGAACCAATTTTGTAAGGTAAATTGGCTTCAACACGCAGGCGGCACACCTCAGAAGACCCTGGCCTTCTTAAGTGATTTACTCCCTTAAGCTTTGTTCTGTAATTACAGACAATTGAAACAGAGCCTCAGACGCGGATGCAGTCCGGATCTCAATGTGCTGGCAGACACAGCTGCTGGTGGGGTGATTGTTAACACAGCAGCTTTAACAGCACCACGTTACATGCCAATAAGGGCACATATGCTTGGCGTGACCAGACCTAGAGGTAATTGAATGCCAGGGAGAAATTGGTGTCACAACCTACATTGTTCTAAAAGCCTCTTACCTTTGGCTAAGTGCCTCTCGGTAAGCAAACCTAATGACAAAACTAACCACCTGTTGTAGGCTCGTGAAATGTCTGTTATAATTATTTTCACGATCGAGCCAACTGAGCAAACGCTGGAAAGAGAACAGATGTCAGAAAAGCACAGAAAAATGCCCAATGTGTCCTCCTCACATCGCTTCATCAAACAGTCCAAAACCTACAGTTATTCAATTTATGATGAGGTGAAACTGAGAAAGACGTTTTCCCTTAAAATATGACTGATAATGAAATATCTAAAAGGATTTTTCATTAACATGTGTTTTACATAAGGCTTGTAAGATTGATTAACAATTAGATTAGCTCTGTACTTTGTAATTTGCTTGGTTGGTGACTCAGAATATGAACAAGTGAATGCAAATGAGCTGTGGCTGAGTGAGTGAGTGAAATGAGAGAGTGAAAAAGTGAATAGCGTGCACAAAGGAGGGTATTAATGAAGTGAGCCAATGAAGAGTAAGTGAGTGAGGGGAATAGTCGATATTCGACTGAAGAATTATCTGAGTGAATAAATGAGCTATTGTGTGAATGAGTGATTGAAAAGCTGAGTGAGTGAGTGAGTGAAGGGGACGGCAAAAACTCTGAGTTAGTGAGAGAACAAGTGAGTGTGTAAATACAAGCGTTAGTGAACAAGTGAGTTGAGGCAGTGAGTTAAGGTGTGATTGAGTAAGTCAGTCAGTGATGAGTGAATGAGTGAAATCAGTTAATGAGTTCGTACGAACCATTACAACTACAGCAAAATAAACAAGGAGGAAGCAAATTAATGCACCAGGGAATTAAAGAATGACTGTATTGGGTGATCAAATGAAAAATGGTCCTTGTTATATTATATCATATTGTCAGAACACAAATGATTGAGTGGGTGCCTACTCTTTGACTACACCTGTCCTGCAGGTCACACCTCACCTTTTGCTCTTTTGGGCATTCTTCTTGTCCCTCTTGTTCATCACCACCGGCACACAGCTGGTGAGCTCTGTCCAGTCCGCATGCAACCCGCAACTCCAGCCCGTGGAGAACCTGGAGAAGAGCCACGACTCCGCTTTCCCCGGTCGGTGACAGGTGCATTTCCTCTGGCCGGGCATGCAGTCACACGGCTGCTCCAGCTGGATGTTCTTCACCAGGTGCCGCCCAAACGTCGTCCCGCCGGTCTTCTGGATATGCAGGAACACCATCACATCGTCTCCGCGGATGTTGAAGTCGATATGCCGGTCCAGGTCCCGCTCTGTGAAGTTAAATTTGGATGTGATTTTGGAGGGAAGGTCCTCGTCCGCCTCCGGCTCTGTGTAAACTAACTCAAACCCGGATGAATAGCGCTGAAAAAGCCCCTTTTCGTCACTTCTAAAGTAGCAGGTGTTGCTGTCGGACGGGCACACATACTGGTAGCCAATCATTAAGAAAAGCACCGCCGCAATGGGAATGAAGATGAGTCTATTGAACTTCTCCTCCATGGTGGAAAACTGTAAATCACGCCGTCGGCACAAACGGTAACGTGATGTCCAAGTCCTCCTCCCCTCGTCTCATCCTGCAGCTTCACTTCAGGTAACGCTGCGCGGTGCTCCTGTACGCAGCCGTTCAAGTCCCAGAGGCAGCTGAAAACATGTTCAAAGCTGTAAACATGCAAGTTATTCCCCTAAAAAAGAATCAGACAATGTCCTTATATATGTCAGAGTGATTGGCATAACTCTGGTGAAATGACACCTTTCAAGACGTCAGCGCAAGTCGGCACATCCGCACATGAGGAGCGCCAAAGCCAGGCTCAGGCTCGGCTGTCCTGCCAAATGCTGATCGGTATCTGATCCGAGCGCGCATGCTACAAGCTGAACAAGATTAACACTGACTTCCGGTCTTATTTCCACATTAATAGTTTCATGTAAATAGCCTTTTACTTTGTAATGTCATTATGCAACATTATCCTGCATAAAAAAACCGTATAATTAGGGATATAAAATAAGCTTTATATTTGGAACTGAAGGAAAAAAAACACTTTTCTTGCAATTAAATTCCATAAATAGGAACATGTTTTTACGCAAATGTCTTTAAATTGACAACTGTGTACATACTGTCCTAAAAGGATGCTATACTTGTTTTAGACCTAAATCCTATAGGGAAATAACTATTAACAGTATTGTTATAGAATAAAGTTCCTTGACTTTTATAACCTACTTGTAATGGTATAATAAAAATCAATTAATTGTTAGTAGTTCCTGTTAAAGTCCATCAATACAGTGCATAGTGCCACTATTTCCGTTTAAAGTGTGGTATGATTGGTATGATTGGTATGATTGGTATGATTCCAAGTGATTTTAAAGCTGACTGGGTCTCCTGTCCTTATTTTTATTTCTAAAATCAATGCATCCCTGTATTACATTTTCTAGCTGCACAACATGTCTCATGGTATGTAACCGAATCATTTAATTTAAATCACCCCTTTTTATTTAACATTACTTTTATTCTGAAAATCTAAAGTAAATGTTTGTTGCATCCATCTTGACTCTGCATCTGTGCCAGCTACCAAGCCGGTGACGCAACCGCATCTCTAATCACACATACATAATTTGAGTGGCCTAGAACAGGCGGAAAATCAATAATTTCCAATTATATAGAAAACATGTATAGGAACTTAAAGCGGAAATTACAACAGTGATTTAATGGTAATCTGTTTGTTTTTTTTTACATTCAAATTCCTTTAGGCCATAAGTCAGCTTTGTTATTATTACACTACAACTTTAAAGAAAATACCTTAATGAAGTGTTTTTTATCCATATGGTATCTTTTATAATGAACATTACATTCACAAATGAGCTCAGGTCTGTTGTACTCAATGGTGTATCTATTAAGTGTAAATAGGGAAGGCATTGTTTTGGTATCTTAAAATAGCTTCTGTTTGTGAAATGGTTGTTAGCAGGTCTCCACTGTGTGACGTTCTGTTATTAAGTTTTGATGCAGTCCACAGGAAAGAGTTAAATCCTCAGGCGAGTCATTTCAGCACCATGGACAGATTCCAACATGTCAAGTCAATAATTGGCATCCTCTGTGAGAGAAATGTGTGTGTGTATAAGTCTATGTGTGTCTGCCATATCGTCATCATCCCACATAGGTTTTCCGTTCCCAACAGTCTTGAACATGTGATGCAGTACAGTTGAATTTCTTTATAGACACTACAGGGCTCAAACTAAAGGCATTTTAGCCTGAAGTAATGGATTTCCTTTAAGCCTTCACTGATCAAAAGCTTTTGTTATTTTGCCTTAAATGCCCTCCATCAAGGGATTTAACCACGATGCACTTGTATTCCATTCAATCCTCTTTGGGCACTGAATGCACTTTGCCCCTTTGCTTAGACGTTGACTTAATCTGCATTGGAGTTTGTAGTAGCTCACTTCTCTTAGAGAATGGCCATCTCTGGTGTGGAGGGAGGGTGGAGGCCCAAGTAGCCTGGGCATGGAATCTGCTATTGATGGTATTCACACAGCAGTCATTTTTTCCAACTTTGAGCGCAGGGTGAATAGCTGAAGTGCTTAATAGCCTATTGTTGCTCTGCTGTGTACCTGATTAAAAAAAGTAAAAGTTAATGTAGGAAATGAAACAGATGACGTGAATGGCTGTGTCTGAAATCATGTACAATTTATACTATTAATAATAAATGTGACGCCACACTGATCTGAAATCATAGAGGGTAATTTTGTGTATATGAGAAATGCCAGGATGTAGGCGTCACTAAATTGACAATGCCCAGAACGGTCGGGTTAGTCGGCAGCATGCAGTACATGCTGTTTAAATATGTTAGTACTGTAAGTGGTTTAGAACAGTGGTTCCCAAAGTGGGGGTCGGGACCCTCTGGGGGGTCGCGAGTTGCCTTCCAAAAACAAATGCAAATTGGAAATGACTTGAAATTACATATTTGACCTATTATTGTGAAATTACATAAAAAACTGTTGTTCAATTAGCTTAAGGCTGTTGTATTTTTTAATTGTTGTTCTAATGTCAGTGTTTGGATAGGCCCCATTAGTGTGTGCTGCTGTGTGCAGCATTATGCTTTAACCACTTCCAGGGACAGAGGGGGTCCCCGATCTCTCGCATCGCTATTTTGGGGGTCGCGGGATGAAAAGTTTGGGAACCCCTGGTTTAGAACACAGCCTATGATTGAAAATCTAAAAGTACACTAGACCATGTTTCCAGTTGAAACAACAGCCCATAAGCTATTGTCAATGGGTAGGCCTAACTTTAGCATTCAACCACTTCTTAGTTTTACTGTAAGTAAAAAAAAAAAGAGACTGAAAGCTCCAGTTAAAAGTGTTACAGCACAAAGTCAAAGAGTAAATTCATAGCTAACAATAGTGAAAGTTAGTAAGCAAGTGGTTAATAGTTCTTCATGATGACAGCTAACATTAGCATTCAACCACCTCTGAGTTAACTTTACTGTTAGCTTGAAAATGGCTGAAAGCTGACATAATACCAAATATAATTCCATTCTACCAAAGGATAAAAAATAACTTTCCGGCTTACGATAATGTTAGCTAGTGAGTGGTTGACCCTATTTCCCTCCAGATTTACACTTAACATTGATTCTCCAGTTCCTGATTAATGAGTGAAACTATAATTTTTGAATCCTTGATCATCGGTAGAGTTCTTTTAAGTGCTTTTGATCTTCCCAAGCTGAGCGTGATGTCAGGAAATGGGCGCTGTGTTATCTCTTATCTAATTTTCTAAAGGTCATACAAAAATGAGCTGTCGGACATGAATTTGTGCCTCTGTGATGATAACATCCTGTGGCTGCATGCTCTTTACCTGTAAGGCCTTTCTCTGATATAGTACAGAGTTCTTTTTGCTACAGAAACCCTTTTCCTCGACTCGCATGCTGATTAAAATACGAGCACAGTTCCTGATGGGGAAGAATCTGCATTAATGTTTTGTTCGGTGAAGCGAGACTTGTGTTGTTCTGGCTGTGCAGCTGGGATATTTACGAGGTCCCTGACGCTCACAACACAAGTCTTATGAGAAATAACCCTGAGAAGTGCTGAATCAGCTGGCTGCTGCAACGTGCAGGGTTTCCAATAATGGAACTGAGGCTTCCTGGAAATTATGATCGTGTTGGTTTGGGATTTCTCTTTATCTGTTGTTGTCTTTTCCATTTTATTTGAATGCAACTGCAAATATATATGTATTTTATATTTATTGGGATTAGTATTGATCTTTTAAGAGGCTCTAGGAAAGTTCACTTTTGTACTCTGGTTAGCAGAGATTTCTGTGAGTTTCCAGCAAATGAGCAGCCTGAGACTCTATTAAGAAGAGCAAATGGAAGTTACAAATTCTTACAAATTGAGAAAATATGTAGAAAAAAACAACTCTGGGGTATTGCAGCTGCTGCTGTAGATTCACTTTTGAAGTGTGTGAGACATTATCCGAAGTAGGCCTCAAAGCATGAAGAAATATTTTCCTTTTGCTCCCAGCTGTGCAGTAAAAAGAACGGCATAAAAAAACATGAGGATGTCACAAATCATTTTAACAATCACACATGATAAAAGTGATGTGAAAAATAAAAAAAAAGCTGCAGTCTAACCTGCTCCCCCGATCATTATTAGATCTACAGGTGGAGGCTGTTCATATGCAGAAATGAAGCCCCGAGTATGCAGATGTGGTCTGTAAGCTGTCACCTTGAACAAATGTACAGATGGCGTTGCTGTGTCGGTGACAGCTGTCGTCCTCTCCTGCCTCCTCTGCCTCCACCACCTCTCTGTTTCCTAACTGTCTCTTCCTGTCACGCTACAGACTCATGTCATGCCTCACCTGCCCACTAGCTGCTGTCACCTGAGCGTCACCTGTCTGCTCAGCTGCTGCTCATCTCCTCATTAGGTCCCGTGGATATAATGGCCAGATTTACCCATTGTTGTTTGTCAGGTGTCGCTGCAGCTTCCTGCCTCTTTTTGGTTTGCTGCCCGGATTTGTTTGTTGTGCCAACCTGTTGCTAATTGTAAGCCTTGTTTTCTGCTTATTGGCCCCAATTGTTTCATTAACTGTGAGGTAGTGGAAATACTGGGTGAATGATGTCATACAATGCTGCCATGCTAGTTTTGGATTTTTCTTCTGGCAGTTTATTATACTTGAACCAATGTAGTCCAATTCGATCCAGATTGTTTTACACATTTAAAGCTCCTGTGAAGACTTTTAAGCTGGTTATGAAACCGTTTGGATGACACCTCTTTATTCGGTACACAAGCACACAAGACCAGTAGCATGAAGATAGACAAGTTTTATATTCTTATTTTCAATGACTGCATCTGCTGCTGCAGGATAAGTGGATGATAAAGTAATGAAGTTAAGATATGAATTTGAGATGTTAGTAATAATACCATCAATGTTTTAAAAAAACACTAGATTTAAACATCTGTATTATAGCTGAAAGATTGAATGTTCTTGCCCTTCTTTTTCCAAACAGTGATTTCAGAGAAAGTCGGTCTCTTCATTAACTTTCTCCAAATTCACTGATACACCTGTACTAATGAATTTTGTATGTGTTTCTAAAAGGATGTCAAGAAAGAGAGGATAAGAGATGACCAAGAATAATACAAGAGAAGCAGAGATGTAAGCACACCACTGGCATGATGCTGAGGACCATGAGGCAGGTAAGGACGGGAAATCATTTCATCAGAAGGACAGGGTAGGCTGGTTCGGAGAGTATCATCTGCATTGCTTGTAGAAATGCACTTCCCTTATCGCAGGACTGAACTTTTTGAGTGTAGATCATGTTATTAGATGCCATAGAGCGTTTTTGTCTTGGTGAATTTGCTTTTCTGGCTATTTGCCCTGGTTGCATGTGGCGTGGGTGACTGAAGATGTGTGAACTGTCCACCATAGGGATCCAGCAGCATGCCTGCAGGCCTGCAGTGCAGCAACGGCACCGCGCCAACCTGCACCGGGCTCCCCATCGCAGCCTCATCCAAAACGCTTAATCAAAAGGGACACTCTCCCCACTTGGTCCTGTATGAAAAGGAAGCTTCTGGCCCACGCTGAGCACCTTGGCCCGGTGACAGAGAATAACCCAGATTGCTCTACAATCTACAGCACTGCGAGGACGTTGGAGAGGAGGCCTGTGATACAATCTGCATTTTCTAGCAGGTAATTGAGGCTTTGGGGACACAGCTGATGGGGATGTGTCCTGCCGTGGCTTAATCAGCCTTCCTGTCTTTGCCATCAGTGCTGATGGATGTTTATCGCCCGCTCCGAACAGGGACCGCATGTCACTTCTTGCAGAAGTTGATTCGAGGCACCGAATGAATGTCAGAGGGAAAATTACTGTAATTTTCCTCGTCAGCCTTCGTTCTCGCATGTACCCTAATATTAGGGTCACCTTTTCCCTGCATCCACTGATTCATTCCGACGCAGTCGTGCAATTTCCCTGCCAAATATAGCACCATTTTTTTTTTTTTTTGTATTTAATGTTGCAGCTTTCTTTACAGTGCTACCTGATTTTTGCACCTCAGTTTAAGGCCTAATTAAATAGCTCAAGATGATGTGGGTGTCAGTGGTTGTAAACCACCAGCTTGTGTAAGATCGCAGTGTTTTTTTCCCTTCCCTGCACAAGAACCAATTCTAAACTTTTCCGTCAGATTATGGTGCAACTGAAAGCCAAACCTCAGGTTAAGTGTTTGTCCTCTATTCAACCATAGCTATCAAATCACTTTTACATGTAGCCTTCTTTATAAAGAAGTCTAACTTCTCAGCCCACCAGGAGGCCACAGCCCTCACTGTGATAGGTGCCTGACATTAAGTTTTTTGACTCCATTTTAACGCTCCTTTGAGGAACTTTGTATTGTACATGTGTAAGCAGTGTCAAAAATCTCACCTACTTCTTTCTTTGCTGAGGAACATGTAGAGACGTTTCTACAGTTTGCTGTTCATGGCTTTATCTCACACATACCCCTTTGCTGGCATATCAGATAATTTAGAAAAAGTTGAGCTTCTTACTGATGGACTGGTTTGCTTTTGCAGCTCATAAATCTACATCAATTTCAGTCTGTTAACTTAACAAATAAAAACTCATCACAGGAGCTTTACCTCTGAAGGGCTGTGAAAATGCACAGTAGTAGGTCCTGGGTGCACAGACTGTACAACATTTGTCTAGATCCTGTGCAGTTATTTTGTGTCATTGAAGTGACATTTGCACATGATTTAATGAAGGTAAACACAGAGAACAGTTGTGCACAATAGCACAGCACTCCTCCAATCAGAGGGTGCTGATTAATCAACAAACATTTCCTGCTGCTTTCAGGTGCTGCAGGGATTTAATGAATTGCTGACCCTGACACATTTCAGATTCACACCTTAACACCTTAACGCTCAAACAGGGAAATCACATTTAGAATAGAGGAACAACAGGATGTTAAGGCAGGAATCATCTAAACCTTGTCGTCTTGAGATCTTGAGAAACGTTTCAAACAACTTTCTCATGCAGATTGTTATATGTTCAAAGTGAAACCCTGAAGGAGAATCTGTTTATTGATCCATGTGAACAGGAGTTGTACAATTTGTTTACTCGATTGCTTCTACCAAAGCAGTAGAGTAACGCTGGATCATGATGTTTAATTAGGTCGACATGTTCTCAAGGTGTCTGGGAAAAGAGCTCTTCTCTTTGAACTTAACTGTGTCAAAACACTTTTTCGTCTTAAGAAGCTCAATATGTGACTGCAGCATCATACCAACTTAGGAAAAACAGTGTGTGAATGTTTGCTGATATTTTGGGGTCAGTGTTTCTTAGTCTAATACTCCCTGACTGGATTGCAGTATGCTCACTCTGAAACAAGCATTTGTACACCATTTAATGCTGTGAAACTATTTCCCTTCTGATTATGAATGCTTATTAATTTCATGAAAAACACCAGATTTTCCTAGAGTCTTCAAACACATGGCATTAATGAGAATTGTTCCACATTCAAAGAGGGCTGGATGAAAGATTTACAAGACACAGTTTAAACAGAGAAACTCAGATTTTAGTCCCCAATCTTTAAAAGCTGTTTCAGCTTTGGTTTAAATTGTCCCATTCTGATCCATGCTGAGTTCTGTTGGAAAGGACTTCCAGGTATTGATTGCCCAAAGCATTACTGGGGGATCAATATGTGGAACAAGGCTACAATTAACAATTACTTTCATGACTGATTAAGGTGACAATTCTTTTTTCAAGCCATTGATTACTTTTTTTTTGGCCAATGTGCAGTTGGAAAGTTGTTGAAATAACCCCTTACAATATCTCAGAACCAAAGGTGATCGCTCTTAAGAGCTTGATTTGTCCGACCAGATTCCAGCACAAAGATGCAACTAACAGAGAAAAATTACAAAATGTTGGGAAAGCCAGAACCAATAAATGTTAGGAACACCTGCTTTATAGATGAGCTTAACAATTATTTCATTAATGTGAAAAAAAAGACAACTCATCAAACCATTTGAAATGTAGCCTCTTAAAACATGGCTGCAGGATCTTACCCTTTCAGTGGTCGGCATCTTGTTTGCTGCTTAGCTTAGCATAGGTATTCAAAGGTTCAATAGGTTGGCTCAGTCACATTTTTTTAAAGCCTGTTTTTGTAGGTTGTTTAAACTCATTATCTTGAACGCTATCTTGTAACTGTTAAATGTCAATTTTGGTCTTTCACTGCCAAACTGTCCTCATTCATGTCTAGTGTTTGCTAAACTAAGCTAACCAGCTGCTGCTGTGGGTCAATGTCTAGCATAAATACACCAGACTGATATCAGTCTTCAAACTGATTACATGACGATATGATGACAATAAGTAAACGTCCAGCACAGCACAAGTAGTATACTTAGTCATCCTTAGATTAACATTAGCAGGACATACAACTCTTGTGATGCAGAGAACAATATGTCTTTATTAACAAAAGATCTAAATATGTGAATCTTTCTTGGCTACTTGTTCTCGGCTCAGCTGTTCTTGACAGATGGTTGTCCACCAATGAGTCAACGTGTCTGCCTGTCTAAAGGAATTATTTTCTTTCCACTGTTTCCATTGGTGGATTAAGATGAATCTCTTTCAAAAATATAACCAAGAGAACAGTCCAGACCTGAAGTGAGAACACTTGTGGGATTTTGCTCTATATGATTAACATTTTGATTGCTTACAAAAGTTTCTATTTCTTTTTCTTCCCCTTCAATTTGGTGGCTTTTAGATGCCGTTCACCAATGAGTCTGGTCAGAGGTTTTATTTCATGACCGCTGTACTGTGTCCAGTTGCTTGTCATTGATGCATAAGAGTGTGGTGTTCTGTTTGTCAAGTGTCATGAGATCATTTTTGTGTTGATTTGGAGCTTTTCATTTGAAAAATAGATTTACTTGTTGTATGAAGATTTCACTGAAAATCAATCAAATCGATGTTGAGGTCTTGGTTGGTGTTTACTAGAAATGTCATCTTTGAGATTATAAAATAAGGCAGTAGGTGCTTAAAAAGCATGTTACGTCGATGTGGTGAGATTCAGTCTAATAATGGCAGTTAATGTTCCATCCAGCTGGTATGTGTCCGTGCCAGGTTAACCATTCCTTTGAGCTGAGTCAGGGGCTTTCTAGGCCATTTGCCCAATAACTCTAGCAATCCACAGTCCGCTGTTTTACTGCCAATTTACAGCAACATCGCCCAAGATTGCATGCTGCATGAATTTGGTCATCTAACAGTCCAGACACACATTCCCTGGAAACTCCTGGTCTTTAGCCCTGTTTATGCTTCCATTCTTCCAAATTGCATCAACGCCAGCTCCCTGGCAGCTGCACCTTTTTGTTGTATTAGCCATAGTTTAGAAATAATGAATGTGTGGCCAGATCTGCCATGTGTGCTAACGCCAACAAGGCTTGTGATTAAATTCATGTCACAACATTTTCAGGTACTTGAGCCTCTAGCCAGTAAGATTTTGAAGCGGGGGGGGGGGGGGACATTTGTGCAGCACTCTTTGGGTGAGGTGTGAATTGAAATAAGTCATTATCTACAGAAAACACCTTCCCGAGAGGCGGCAAGGAGAGGCTTCAAAAGGATACTTTATTTTTGCAATCCACACACATTGCAGAAAATAAGGAGAGAAGCATGCAAAAAGGGGAATCTCAGGGAGGCCGTTTATGGCAAGCTGCTTAGGTAACTGCATCAGACGACCAAACATCAAAGGCTTAAATATTCAAGGGGTTCTGAGATGGCGAGAAACTTACAAATGGATTATTCCTTCTTGAGTAAACACAGAAAGACTATAAGCACCTGGCACAGTCTGAAATGTTCTTGTAAAGGGGCATTTGCAAATTGCAGATGTTCAAGTTGAAATTAAATATCATGAGAGCAATAAGTAAAGAGTGTTTTCAGGGCAAAAAGTGGCTAAGAGTGCACAGAATTTGCAATTTTGTTTGCCAGCTTTTACCAATAAAACCAATTTAATATCCAGCCGTCACCAGTGACAGTATTAATATTGCGTATATGCTTCTGTTTTCACTCTCCTCCCACTTTAGGTTTCCCTTCCAAGGAACCTGTTCAACAAGGTGTCTGAGGCATAAAAACCTGCAGTCTACAAGAATGATTCACCATATCAGGAAGGAAAAAAAAAACACTGTGGAAGTTCTCTGGATGTCTAGGTAGGTTTTTTTCTGTGATGAATAGCTTACCTTGTTTCCTAAACTCCACTCCCGTGCTGCAGCTTCATCACTATGCAGCTCTATCTTCATACATCTAACTCCCTGCCTGATTTATTGGAGGGTATGGCACAGCCGCTACACCTTGCATCAAACGCTACGGCATTTTGTGCACAAATACAAATGCTTACATAGGCGACGTGAGGAAGGATGCATTTAAAAGACGGATGAAAGGTGCACATTTGAATTGCAAAATATTCCAGTGTTCATTTCAAGGATTATGGATTAATTTGGTAGAGAATATTCAAAGTGTCGATGTGAAGAAAACCCCTCTGTATCCGGTGATTTCAGGTTTGGATAAATTGGAACACATTTCCCACAGAAATGATGATTGATTAGTTCAATCTTGGCATCTATACAAGATGCCTGACCTTTCTTTACCTGTTAAATATTCATGCTTCCTTGATGCCGAGGTCCCTTCAGGATAAACCCACATCAATACGAGATATTTAGTCTGGTATTAATGGAAAGGAGATTTTCCACATTATTCAGGGGGAGTCTTTAAACACGCCTTTGATCCACAGCTAAGATGTGTATTACGGCCATCTGGTTAAGATTCAGCATCCCAGAAAGATTGTCGCCCACTCATGAAGCTCACAGTGTCCCATCCTGTGGCCGACTATTTAAAATGCACCCTGCATGTGTGGATTTCTTCTAAGGATAACAGCAGCCCTAATGCACAATCTAAGAAGATTGCTCTGTAAGCCTTAACAGATCATATCTGATAGAAAGGAGATGAAACCATTTCAGACAAAGCTTAACGTGAGCCCCTGAATGGGTGCAAGAGGTGCAGGACCCAGAGGCCGGGGTTATTCTCTTATCTTTTTGGCCAAAGCGCTCTGGTAAAGCACCCCTCCTGGCATTTAAAACACATGTCTGCGATAACATCATTGGTCCTTTTCTCCCTCCCTCTGGCCTCCAGAGAGAATCTCCGAGCATCTCTAAATGTCACGTTAAGTGCTTCTCTTGTCCCGCGCTGACACAAAAACGGGTTGCTCTCTGAATACAAAGAAGGCGCGTACTGGAAGGCTGCCATAGCTCAAAGAGAGCGACAGTTATCTCCTCTCTTCTTTTTTGCGCGCTCCCTCATTTGTTCAAACTGTCAGAAGTAACATTTAGTCTCTAATGGGGCTACCTGAGGACGGCAAAGACTTCATCTTGTTGTTTTAACTAAATTTGAGTGCTAGGCATTCATAGCATAATGGCTGCTTGAAAGGCTAGTATTAGCATTAAAGTCAATATATCTTATTAAACTCTCCTCCCTGTAGTTCAGGTATATCTAAAACCATAAGCCATGCACTAATTGTCCTGTAACTTAATACTAAGGAGATCATCCAATTAAATGCTCCAGGAAAGAAATTAGGGGAGCAATGGTGTAGAAATGATGACTCCTTAAAGGCTAATGTTATAACCAGGTGCTATTTTAGAAGCCTGGAGCTGAACCTGAGGAAGTGTGAGTAAGACAACAATTTGATTTGTCCTTGTTGGTACCTGTTATTAGCATCTTTCTGTGCTGTTTGTATCATTATCCACACAGAAATATTCCAAAACAAGGTGGGAAAGTGCACCTAGGAAATCAGCAATTACAATGAGTGACTTCAAGACGGAGCACAGGGACGACGCTGCTTCTCTTGATTTTGTCACAAAATGAAATGCAAAAATACTGTTGCAGGAATAGTTCAACATTGTGGCTCCTTTAACTCTCTTGCTAATAATATAGCACCATCATGTCTATCCAATGAGTATTACGCCTGAGCCGATAGATGATAGAGACAAGCCGTGAGGAGGAAAGTCCTCAACTTCAAACAACATTTCTGTTAAAAAGGTGTCATGGCTGCTTATTGAGTAGTTGCTAATGGCTAAATAACCTAGCTAAACTTGCTTCTCAGTTTTTGTGTGTGTCTCATAGACTGTACGATGTTGCATTCAGGAGTAAGTTGAAGTGTCTTATCCCCTCAGCGATGTCCATGTTGATACATTGATGTTTGAATGGCACTTTTGGATATTCCAAGGTAGATGCACTGACGCCAAATCTCTGTGGTTAAGTTACCCTTTAATGTAGTTTCATAATTAGAATGCTCACTTAAGAGAGGAAATGTTCTTGCTTGATTAAGTGACTTTAAGGCCCTTAAAGCTCCTGTGGGGAGTCTTTAGATGGGTATGAAACAGACAAAAATGAGTATGGGGGCCCTAAAAGTAACACAAACTGAGAGTTAATCACAGCAGCTTTAAGGGACTGTTTCTTCCTCATTGTCCTCAATAAAACACACAAAAAAAAGAAGTAATTAAGAAACCTTTGTGGCAGACCTTAACCGCTCTGCTTTGAGGAGTGTTGCCAGCGTTTCTCAGTAAATGTGATCTCATGGACCAGAAAGAAACTGGAATGAGCTGTGAATGTGCTCAATCACTGAACCCCACTGGTTGTCTAAAGGGAACGCAGTCTTTTGTGTTTGCTCTAAATTATTTAGCTTGAATATCCAAGTTTCATGTTTTCCTTAAATTACAGAGTCAGAAGATTGCGTTTATGCCGAGGTCTGTCCCCTCTTCATTTATGACACTCGAGTTCCACGGCAGTCTTTGTCATCGGGTTTTTGAAGATCGGGGTAGAACAAATGCATCGATTATGAGATGATACCTGCTTAATGATAATGCTATGAGGTCAAGATTATTCAAATAAGCACAGTGTTATGGTATCCTGCTGCTTTTTGAGCAGGTCGTTTTATGTCTTGTTACCTCACATTAGGACATATATTCATTTAATCTCATAAAGAAAAGAAAAGTTGGTGCTTTAACGTCAACACACATTAGTATGATGTTTCTAGAGTAAATGTGTAGGTTTGGCTTTAGCTGCAAACCAAAGCAGGAGTTGATCATGTCTTAAAGTCAGAGTTAAGTTTTATGGCCATGAGCACATTCATCATACACCACTCAGTCCACATATTCCATCTCCATTACCTGTGTTTCCTCAGAAGGAGCTGCTCCTGCTGTGGTGGCTGATTTGCCCTATAGAGCCCAGGCCTCCTCGCTCAGTGGGAGGATTAGAAAAAAAAATCAGTGCAAACCTCGTCATTTGTCTGCTATATATAATTCTTTAGTGCTGGTTCCTCTCCTGACCTGTGCAACATTCATAGGGGACAATGAAAGGAAACGGTGGGATGCCGCTCTCTCCTCCCCCCCCCCCCCTCATTGAGCTCTCTTTCATCTCTCCTTCCCACAAGGCTGATTCACCACTTGTGACCCCTGCGACTGCCTCGTTGAAAATAGACAACAAAGTGTCTGAGATGAAAACCGGTGGGCAGTCGTGGGCTACATTGCTGCTCCGCTTTAAGTTGGTTGGACAGTGACTCGAACGATCGCTTAGCTGGCACTTCCATTTGTCTGGATTGTAGCCGCCTAAAAGGGACACGCCGGCAATGCCATGCACCGACATCTTTAAGCATGAACCAACACAGGTCTGTTGGCGCTTCTTTTTATTGCAAGATTTAAACGTCTTTATTAAGCCATTTTAACATTTTGCATTTGCAAAATCATTCTAACTATACATTCACTATGCAGGCTTTCTATCTCACAGACGTCTACTAGCATGAGCTTATCCTCCTCCATTTAAGGCATGGCTGTATGAAGAAAGCTGGCATGGCAGCTCACTTTATACTTCCATCAACCCCTCACACAACACTTTTTGACATATAGGCGCGGAAAGCAACTTTCTCTTTAATTCAGTGTTCAAAAGTGTGGGCTGCCACCCCCAGGTGGGCCTTAACGGTACTGCAGGTTTTCTGCTTGATATACAGTATGTGCATTAGAAAATATGTTTTTTTTATTGCTAAAGGAAAAACAACAAGAAAGGAAAAGCATGTAACAGTGCTTATTGCATTATTTGTTTTGTTTATTTTAGGGCTCTTAAATCAAGTTTTCACTTCCCTTATTTGTGTGTTTTGACAGATAGTGACTCTTACTAAACTAAATGCATATCTCCCTGTTTAATAAGCTGCATGTGCACACAGTGATATATCACAAGCCTCCTTTCACCTCCTAAACATCCTCTTCTTCATCATTAAGCTGACGATGTGAGAGCAGAAATACAGGAAGCTTAACCGTACACAACATCTGGGTATGCAGAGTGGTCTGATTCCATCTCGTCCTCTGCAGGGGAAGATAAGAACCTTCTTCATGAATAAAGATGTTTTTTTGGCATTCCTCTCCTGTCTGTGTTCAATGTGCACTTGTTACTGCGGCCATTATTTATAGTCCCACGAAGGCCCCGGAGTGGTGCTAGTGGGTCCCATGGGAGATTGGGAAGTGGAGCCACAGCTACCTATAGTGGGAAAGATATACCACCTCACCCCCGCTGAGAACTTCGCGCAGGAAATGAACTCATAAATCAAGCAGTAAATTGAGTGTAGGGCCGCGCTTACTCATCTCGAGAGGTCCGCTCCTCTTCCTCCACACACCCCTGTTCTTTTTTACTGCATGACTAATGCAACGCCGCAACTTCTCTGCCCGCATATCGCTCTCCCGCTCTGGTAAACTCTGATCCAACAGTGTGGATTTTTTAGTTTCAAGTCGATATCAAAACTCTGGCCTGGAGGCTACAGTGAGTGTGGGGGTATCTCTCTCTTTCTGCCTCTCCCTCTATCCCACTCTCTCAGCCAATGTGGTTGAAGCAGACAGCTGTCCACCAATGTGTCTGCTCGTGCCTGTTAAGGTTCTCCTGATAGTTTAATGTTGATTATCTGTTAACAATATAAAGAAGAGAAATGTTTAGATCTTAACCTGTTTTGAACATCTGCTTACCGGTATCCACAAAGTCAGTCTGGTCTTGCTCAAGATTTCTGCCTGTTAAAGGAAATGTTTCCTTGCCACTGTTGCTAAGTGCTAAATGTTTTGTCTCTCCAAATAATGAGTGCTGTCGAGACTGTTGTTTGTTGAAACAGTCATGACTTAAGTTTTTTTGTGATTTGATAGCTTATGATTTGATTTTCGATGTTTTATCCTCTACAATGTGCTAATAATAGCTTTTCTTTATTTTTGGACCTTACTAGCATTTGTAACTAACAACATTTACATTTCTAAGTTTAAAGACAGGAGTGCAATAAATTGAATTTCACAAGTAACAATTTCATTATGAACAATGTTCCTTGGCTCGAGGTTTCTGCCTGTTAGAGGAAGTTTTTCCTTTCAATAGTTGCCATTTGCTTTCTCATTGGTGGATTAAGGTTGTGTCTCTTTGAATAATATAACAAAAACTACAGTCTGGATCAATACTGAGAACACTTGTGTGACTATTATTAAAATGTTGAATGATTTTAAATCTTTACTGGGTTTTACAATAGCCGATCATTTCTTTGGAGCCTTTCTAATACACAACATTCATATTTCAAAGTAAAAAAACCTGCAATCTATTTTGATATAATGAGCAACAATTCAAATATTTTCTTGTCAGTTTTGTTTTTTCCCCCATAGCACTTTGGCAGATGGCTGTTCACCAATGAGTCTGGTCCTGCTCGGAGTTTCTGCCTATTGAAATTATGTTTTTCCGTCCGCCAGTTTTCCTTTTTGCCAATGGCTTCTCATAAGTGGATTAATGTTGGCCCGCTCTAAATCAACATCAAAGGGTCGATCCGAGTGTCATGAGATAACTTATGTCATGACTTGGTGCTTGATAAATTAGAAAAATTGATTGAAAAAAATGCCAGTATAGGTGAGTCTAGTTTTGAGTTAGGCACAAGTAAAAGCAAACCAGCATGTCGTCCTACAGCTGAACTTCATCTCCTCATTGTGATGCCACTGGTGAGATCTGCCTGTCTTTATGCGGACACAGAGAGTCTCTCTTGCCTGCCTCAGGCTATCCTGACAGTCGCGGGGCGCTGTCTGGAGGAATTAAAATCTCTATTTATCAGGGCTCGACTGAAGCTGTCTGGGGACTGGTCGGGGAAATGGCAAACAGTCGGCCTTCCTCCTGCACTGGGACTCTGATGAGGAGTTCAACACGCTGCGATCTGCCCATGCAGGTTGTTTCTTGACAGCGCGTGTGATGTTAAAAAAAAAAGTCCCCATCCCTGCTTTACTCTTTGTTTCACTCTGTTTAATTCTGAGCCAGAGACTGCACTCTCCTGAATGCAAATCATTCTTGAATTTCATCTCTTAAGGGAACCTCCAAAGAGTAATTTTAAGACTGATCCTTGAATACAAACAGTGTTAGTGGATGTGTAAGTGTGTGTATGTGTGGATCTACCCTGCCGAGCACTGCACCCCATTAAAGCAGGGGCTGTGTCGCCTCCTGCAGCTGCTCTCCATCACAGCAGCAGTAGGAAGCATTTCCTCTGACAGAGAGGGAGGACAGGACAGGACAGGGGGAGGGCTTCACAGGCCACTTTGAAACCAAGCGCCTGAGGCAGAGCACAGATCAGATCTCTACTGACCTCCGCTGGTCAAATAAATGAAACTGAAGCATGTCCATGACATTGGTTGGTGCATCAAAGTCACAAAAACCGCTGATACAGAAGTGTTAAAGGAAAGACCTTTTAATCAAAGTCCACTACATTTTATTTAGAAACATAGTGGTTGTTACTGTACTACATTTATCCAACTGATCCATAATTAAAACAAAAGAAAGACATATGATCAGCTTAAAATATTTAATGCATTTTATAGTGGCACTCAACCTCCTTTGGCTTTAAACCTATATCATATGGAGCAGGATAGCTGGGGTCTTTTGTCATGTAGGTTTTAGAAGTATAACGTTGTTAGCAATTCAACCTAATACTTGTATGGCTTTATTTTAAGCAACTTTTTAGGGTCAAAGAGTGACACGATAAAAATAAAATTGAGCTTGAAATGCAAAATGAAACACTTTCAGCAGAACTTGACTATATAAGAAAGCCTCGCACTCACCTGTAGTCTACTGATGAGATGGATTAAAAACATCTCAAAGACATAAACTGTAAATAGCTCGAAGCAGGAGGTTCAAATTAGAAAGACTTGATGATTCATTGACCATTGCAGCCACAAGGGGGAGCCCTTCCATAAGACTGGCACACCATCTGCACTAAGTTTTCGAAATCTTCTCTTGCATCCCTAGAGCTGAGTTTGGTTTTCTCTCTGCATTTAAAACACGTTTGCCGCTTTTAACGTTTAAATGATTTGAATGTGAAGTAGTCTTGTTATGTCCCTTCATTTGTAAAAAAAAAAAAAAAAAGCCCACACTGACTTAACACCCCATCCCCGTTTTCTGACTCACCATTTCAAAGCTCAGCGGTCTGCTGCTCCCTTCCCCCATCTCACAGCGAGCTGCGTCCCTTCCCCACAATAACACCGGAAAAGAGGAGCTTTACCCACAAAGTAAAAGTTCGAAACAGAATAATAGTCCCTCACAGAGCTGTGTTTTTGGTCTTTTACAAACTGCGATGACTTCGACTTGTTAAATTTGGTCATCGCTGGGGGTAACAGGTTTTTTGAAAAAACAGTTGGCTTCTGCGGCCCTAGGACATGCATCCTTTTTAATCAGTTTTCTTGATATAGCCCAACGAAAAAAAAAATATTGATTACTCGAGATCTTGATTTATTGGCAAGTACATTTACACATAAAAAGGAATTTGTATTGGTGCAAAAAAAGTTAACAAAGGAAATAAAGCAAATAGCTAGAACTAAAATATAATAAGTAATTACAAATAGGCCTACATAATAGAATGTAAGAAATATAAATAAAAACACAAAGGTGCAGTATTAAAAGTAAAAACATTTTTTTTTAGTCTTCACAATTAAGCTCTTAAAAAGTGTCCTTTGTGTTTACGTTTGATCCAGCGCTTTATTTTGAAGGACAGCGCCGGAAATGACGTTTCTGAATGTCGTGAACTTGTCAGTCTTCTCTGTCTCGCAGGGATTTAGGAATGTGGAGACCAGCAGCTACGTCACCCTCAAATCGCCCGGGGTACCGTCGAGAGAAAACTTTTTTAAAGGCTTTAAATTCACAACAGGCATCACCAGGTAAGTCTTTTTAAACACCTTTTTATGCGAAATAAAACCAAAAATGTAATAAGTCAGTGTTGTTTGTGATGTTAAATACTGTTTTACATTGTTTTTAGTTTTCACTAAAACATGTCCGTTAGGTCACCGTGTGTCCCCATGGTAACTTCACTGCAGAGAAAAAGCTCTTTTTGTTGCACTTCTTCACATTGTAAGGTATCTTGTGTTTTGTTAGGACAGGTTAGAACATGTGTGCGTTTGTGTTGGCTGAGGTCAAGCAAGGGGAGATTAAAAAGCCTGCCCCAACATGATTGTTTCAGAAACGTGATGCCAGAAGATTAGCGGTATCCACTGTTAGCAAGGGAACCGTGTGTGCTAACTGAAAACTTAGTTACATTAATGTGTTTTTATTAGCTGATAAATTTGATAACATTGACATTAGGATCTTTTTAAATAGCTGCATTTGCATTCTTGCAGATGCATTTGTGTCTTGTCCTGCACACACTGTAGGGCAACATTTGCTGATTGCCTGCACTGTTTTGGTAACACTTCTCTCCCCAGGGACGCTCCTGCCTGTCTCCATGGTAACGTGGCAAACGCAAAGCCCCGGCGTTGTCGCGTTTCGCTGCTGATACTCGAGGGGGGGGCGGAACCGAGGAGGAACAACGGAGGGGGGGGGGGGCTCTTCGGGTTCTTCCTCTTCTTCTGTAAAGGCAAAATCGGTCGAAGATGGTAAGGAGAGCACGGCTGCGTCAGGACAGCACCAGCGTTATAGGTAGATGGAGAATCTGTGCTTTGCTAAAGCTAAAGAAGATGCTAGTGCCTTTTCTCTCTTGTTGTATGCCTGTGCAAGAGGATGTGATGCTTTTTTAAATTGCATATTAGGTCTGTTTGAGTAGGTTTTAAGTCTTTCTTTTGTTTTTGTTTCAGCCATTTCACGAAGGAGTCTACTACCCCTACACCAGTGACACCCAAGGGACCCACTCATCAGCGGGGATCCCATCCCTCCTGAATTCCCCGCTCAGCCAGCAGTCTGTCAACGGCCACTGTGCACCGGCACCAGGCATGACTCCATCCAGCGGAGCCTCCACCATCCTTCCATTTAAGTTCCGCCCTCGCAGGGAAAGCGTGGACTGGCGGAGGATCAACGCCGTGGATGTGGACCTTGTGGTGAGCCAGCTGGACGTGGACGCTCTGCAGGATCACATCAGCACCGTTACGTTCTGCAGTTTAGAAGGCGAGCGATGCCAGCGGTGCCAAAGCCCAGTGGACCCGGCTCTGGTCAAGCTCCTTCGGCTGGCCCAGCTTTCAGTGGAGTGGCTCCTCCACTGCCAGGAGTTTCTCACCCTCAGCCTGCGTGCTGCGGAGGAGAGACTGGCGGCCGCAGGAGGGGAGCGGGAGCAGCTGCTGGCTCAGCAGAAGAAGCAGGAGGAGAAGGTGAAGGCGCTCGCCGCCGAGCTCAAGCAGAGGAAGAAGGTTATTCGCACACAGCAGACTCTGCTCGCCCCAAGGATCATCAGCAGCCACAAGGTACTGCTGACATGCTAAATGCGCTCTCTCCCTGGGGGGGGGGTTAAAATTTGCATTTCGGTTATGTATAGCAAGCTAGCTCCATCACACACACCCCCTGCGCTCCTCCTCCTTGTCAGGGCCCCACTCTGTCATTGTTCCACGGATCTATTCACAGCTCTGGCTTTGTCCATTTTACACCGAGAGAAAAAAAGAGAAATATGCTTTTATCAGACAAAATTCTGCTTCTAAAAAGGTTGTCATGCTGTAAAAACCTTTTCTTGTAGCTACCTTATTTTGCTATGTTTGTATTGGGCTTCATTATTAAGTGGAAGAGCAGGATTTAGAGCTGTAGAACAGATGGTGTCATATGGTGGCAATTAGATTTTTTTGTAATCTACTTACACACCCCCCCCCCACCTCCATATACTCATGTGCTTGTAAAGCATTCAATTCTTTTTAAGTGTAATTAAAAAAAAGATACAGTATATATTTTAGATAATGTTCATGTTTTTCTTGTGAAACTATGAGCTGTTGTATTCCTCCACCGGCCATCAGGTTATTTATAGCACGAATCAAAGATCTCCCCCTGCTTCTCATGTGTATGACTGCCACTGACCTGGCCAGACAGTTGCCAAGGCAACAGCTATAGTGTGTCATGACAGCATGTGGTTGCTAGGTGTGCACTTGAAGCTCAGCTAACAGAGGTGGCTCAATAATTAATAGATGAACCATGTGTTTGTGTCCTCTGAGGACCTTTGATATTTGTTGCTTCTTGAGTTTAAGTCCACATCGCTAACTCTTAAAGAAAACATGCCTCTAATACACTTTATTAACACGTTTTTACAGTTGATCTAGACCTTATGTAATAGCATCACTAACAAAAACACTCCCTCTGTTGTGTGACTTCCTTAAAAACTTTGCTAACATATGGTGTGACAAGATATCAGTAGCAGCGGGTTTAGCGTTGAGTGACGTCACAGCTACAACAAGCAGCGGCGTTCAATGCAGCGTGTGAGCAGAGGCAGCATCTACTCTAGCTCTTCAGTGTTAGAGTGTGTGGACGCCTGCCACAGGGAACAAATCAACATCACTCACACTCACACTGTCTGGCTGTTTGGAAACGTCTGAACTCAGAGGATGCCTTTGTTTTGGCATGTAATTGGAAACTTCATGGTTTAACTAAGCTTTCACTGAGGAGAAAAACCACAAGTTCTTATTAGTAATGGACATTGAGCTGTTTACATCATAACGCAATGTTTCAAATGATACATTTTTTTGTCATTTTTGTATTGTCACAGACAAAAGCTTGAAAAACTAGAAGTGCATGCCACTTTGCATTTAAGGATTGTCAGCAGCACAAAATGTAAATACTGGAACCATAATGATTTGTCAGTTAGTGGTCAGCTCATAAATGAATGGCCACTAATTTGAGAGAATCATGTATTCATTAGTTAGATTTTTACTAATTTAGGCCACTTAAATTGGACTGTATTCAGTATTGGGTCTGGGCTAATTTGTTATTTTTTTTAACTTTTTTTTAACTAAAACTTTCAGGACTAATACTAAGTATTTGATGGTCAAAATGTGAATGTTTTCTGCTTTCCCTTGTGATTACATCATAGTATCGTATTGTCTCTTACCCCCACCTCGACCCAGCTCCTGCATCCATATGCCCGATGGATCCTTGGGCAGTTGCTCCTTCTGCTTTTGAAGCGGCGTGTGAATGTAGAAATGGATTAGGTAATACTGATGGACACTTAGCAGCCTCTGCCATCAGTTTGTGAATGGATTGGTGTGACCTGCGGTGTAAAAGCGCTTTGAGTAGTCAGAAGACTCTATAAATAGACGCTCTATAAGCTCAATTCCATTTACCAAATAAGCAAATTGAATATTTACCTTGGACATCCTGTTAACACAGTGAAATGTTTCATTTTATTGTCCTCCTTAAAATTAAGCTTCTGATTATTTGCACAATTGAATGTGGATAATGAAAATGACTTTTAGTTGTTGAACTGCCTTAAAGTAAAGAAGTGTCTGTGTGACAGCAAAACATTCTCAAAATAATGCGAAACCCCCAGACAAAACAGAATTAAATAAAGTTATCATAAACAAACATTCATAAACATAATCATTCCTGTTAGCTGTCACATCAACAATACATTAAATGAGTTGTTTCTTGTCATAAATGCTCTTGCTGATGAATTAAACATTTTGTTTTGTGTGTTTTTTTAGTGTCCAGAGTGTGATAAATCCTTCCTCAATTCCTCCTTTCTCCAGAATCACATGCAACGCCGCCATCCTGACGAGTACGACAACCGTAAGTCTGCAGGTCATAAAGGTTTGCTGAGCAGTTAGGCGAGGGACAGAGAGACAGAGAGAGGGTGTGATTGTCAAGAGCTAAAGGTAGGAGTCAGATACATTGTTTTCAGGGAGGACACATGTAACGATTGAAAGTTTGTGAAGATGGGGGCGCGCTGGTGGCGCAATGGTTAGGGCGCACATCCCATGTGTTGAGACTCTCGTCTCGAGCGGTAGGCCCGGGTTCGCTTCCACCTGTGGCCCCTTCCGCATGTCATTCCCCGCTCTCTCTCCCTAGCTTCCAACTCTAACGACTGTCCTGTCTCTGTCTTAAAGGCACGAAAAAGCCCAAAAAATAAATCTTTAAAAAAAAAAAAAGGTTTGTGAAGATGAAATCGCAGGAAATTCATATAGTTATCATATTTAAAATATATTTATGAACTTTTTTTACTTCTTAACAGAGTTGCGGTCTGACAGTGAGAAGAAATCTCAGATTGAAATCCTCAAATCTGAGATCAGCAGTCTGAAGGAGCAGGTTGTTCAGCAGCAGCAAACCCTGCAGACCAAAACAGCTCAGGTAAAAAAAACAAAAACTAAGCCCCTGTGATAGAGCTGAAGTGATTTGTCACCTCATTGTATATATATATACAATGTTTGTTTATTGTAAATATATTTGGTACTTCGTCCTGTCATTTTCAAAGCAAAATGCCAATGTTTTATGCTGCAATTGCAGGAGAAAGAGCAACAGTCGCTGCAGAAAGACCTGCTGAGAGAACTGGACCGATTCAAGGCTGAGGAGATGGCACGCATGGACAGAAAGATAGAAGACAGCAGGGACGGGATGCGTAGAGAGATGGAATACCTTTACACCAGAAACATTCAAGCTCTCAATGTATGAAAATGATCATTAGCTTCTTAATTGTGTTTATTTATTACACTCGTGGTCACTGGGGTATCTTTTTTTTTATATCTTTTTTCATCCCATCTATATTCTTATTGATAGGAAGTCAACCAGAATCACACGGCTAAGCATGAAAAAGCAGCCAGCCCTGTTCAGCCAGAGAGAGATGTGGACAACCACAAAGATATGCAAATGCTAGCAATCCAAAAGCTGGAACATCAAATGAAGAAACAGGTCAGTATATTTAAGAGTAGGTCATTGAAATATAAAATTAATTTGCACTACTTGAACACTTAAATATTCTCTTCTAGGATAAAAAGTGGGAATACAGGCTGCAGGAAATAAAGGTTCAACATGAGTCTGAAAAGAATCAGGTAAGCTCAAGTTTTTTTTTCCATAACAAGTTTTATGAGGAATCATAACCAGCCTGAAAAATTCATCCTCATCTCGTTGTCTTCCAGTTGTTGAACGAGCTGAGCAGAACGCAGTTGGAGCAGCAGGAGCGAAGCCAGAGGCTGCAGCAGGAGATGGGCAGGAGGCTGCAGGAGAAGGAGCAGACTATCAGGGCTCAGAGGGAGCAGGTTAGTAATGATACACACTCGGACAGGCAGCGCCGCCCTGTGTGATTATGTCGGGAGAGGAAGCCATGCGGAGGGTCAGCCCTTGTTCAGGATTTCCTGTATTTGCTACACAGGCTCAGATTGTGTTGTGACATGATGATACTGTATATTTGACAGGATACATAATACACAGGAAGCGGAGGCTTTCCTGGAGCTGATCCATATTTGGATGTATGAGATTAAGAAACATTACAGTATTTTGTTTGAAATGCATCTCATACTAAGAAATATTTAAATCTATCAGCCTTTAATAAATAAGTCAGCTGTAACCCATACACATCTGATCGATCTGGGGAGAGATCAGACTATCACTGAGTTACAGTCACTGAATTCACTCACACACATACGAGAATCAGATTTATTTCAATTAATTTGATATTTCTATTAGCATGCAATTATCATAAATAGATACTTTAACCAAAGTTCTATTGAAATGATGTAGCTTTAAGTAGTTTGAATCCAGCATGGGGATGATAGACTCTATAAGAGCTACAAATAGAGACTTAAATGTATAAACATTACATTAAGTAGGGCTTCTATTGTGAAAAATCATGAGGAATATAACTTGAGATGGGAAACTTCAATTATCCATAGAAATTGTTTTTAAAGTCCTTTCATGCATGAACAGAGGGTATAAAAACTTTTTCCCGATATACAGATAAGAAATATTTCTTCAAATCCGCCCACCAAGGTAGTGGAAGTGCCAGGTATGAATTTCTTTAAATCACTTTTACATCAGAACATTTTTCTGAAGGACACTGCTGTGTGATCCATCACTTTCTGTGTGCACTTATCACATTCTTTGTTTTCCAGTCATTGTCACTGCACCAGCTCCTGAGCCTAAACCAAAGAGAGTCATACTTGGTAAGTTAGTGAAAGCTAGCTGTCATTAGGAAATTAAAATATGAAACATTATTGTTTATAGTGAGGCTTAGCATGTGCTTTTCTGCATGAATTGTTTCCATTATTTATAGCAAACTCACAATTAGCCGTGCAGCTACCACATTAGCACCCACACATGACCACCAATACCACCTCTATCTATTAACACATTCTGTCCCACTCCCTGATTTCAAATGACCTCTGATGTCATGTGCTGTCCGATTAGAAGAGCCAGTCACTGCTCTTAAGCTGGATCCTATACTGGAGCTGTCAGAAGAGGAGAAAGGTAAAACAGACTAAAAAAAACAAAAAAACACACAGAGCCGCTCAGCTGCATGCTGTCTGCATGGATGCATCAGTCTGTTTTAGGCAGCCTTTTCATAAGGCTTAGATCATCTGAGTCGGCACTATTATGAAAACAGAACCCGACTGATATGTGAATTTTAGTACTGATACAGTTTTACTGATTTCACATTCTAAATATTGGGGCTGATATTTTTGAGATAGAATAAATAGAGTTGTTAAGTGTGGCTTGTGAACCTTTAATGAATCAATATGATTCTGCATAGGTGCATTTTGAAAATTTCAAAAAAATCAGAGAAGTACTTTGAGTTTTCTGTTGTATCTTTCATCACTACACTGATTTACACAAGTCTTTACTTTACAAGGCTACTTGAATGACCAAATAACTTTATTATGGAAATGTATTACTATTTGTTAACCAATTTCTAGCACATATCTGCACATCAATCGTCTTTTGTGCTGCAGACTGTGCTAAGAGTATTTATTCTTTCTGTAAAATAAATATTTTATCTGACCATATTGGAACACATATCTATATGTCAGCCTATATCTGCCCAATCATTTTGGTAGAACAATATATCAGTCGGGCTCTACATAAAAGGCATGAACTTCGTAAGAGAAACTTCTTGGAACCTCGTTGTCTGTGATATTCTTTTACGCCTGCCATGTTGATCATTATGTCCATACGCCATCTCGTCGCCTTGTTTGTGGCAACTTGTCGACATTCTCCTCTTCTGTCTGCCCCACTGCAGACACATCAATCCACCACGCTGAACCTTCAGCATAGAGCTTGCTGTGAACATTTGCAAATGCATGCTCTCTTTTTTTATTCTGGCCGATTGTCCATAAAAAGCTGATGAAGTGAGACTTCTTTTGCAGACTCAAGCAGCTTCTCTGAGAGGAGGCCCGTGGAGAGAAAGCCTGATCCTGTGCCGGAGAAGAAACAGAGAGCGCCCTCCAGTGTTCTGAAGAGGAACAACAGCATCAAGAAAGACATGCGGCCAGACATGGAGGAGGCTGTTATCAAGAGGCTGGAGGGCCTTGGAGTCAAGCCTGTAAGATCAGACATTCTTAACGGTTCTTTCACTTAAACTTTTTACAGTTGCTTTTAATTGTCTCTGCTTCTCTTCAGGATCAGAGCGGTCTAAGGAACAAAGAGCTGAACTCCATCCTGGCCAAGATGAATTCAACACGGGAGAACTTTGCAAAAGGGAAACCTGACTTCTGGCGCCAACGAGAAGAGATAGAGAGCACCGTGGAGCAGAAACTGGGCGGTCAGAGGAGAGGCAGCGACCCCGCTCCTGAGACACAAGCCAGATCCAAACAGTCAGTCCAGGGTGAGTCACTAAAAGCTTCTTAGCTTATGAGATCATCGTCCTGGACCCATTCTCTGCATACAGACCAACAGTCACCACTTTGCACTTTGTTGTTCTTTTAAGACATTAAGCTAGCTCACTGTTGGCTTGTAATTGTATTTACCGCGTTTACCATCAACTCTATTTCAAAAGCTCATTTGCAGCCACAATTACTGATGAAAGCAGAGACACACTGTCAGGGACTGAGATACTAAATTGTTCACGTTGTATGTTTTTTCTTCATTCAGTGTTGCAGCGCCGTCCTCGCTCCAGCAGTCTGCCCGCCAGAGCAACAAAGGTGCAATCTGGACCTTCAATCAAAGAGCCCAAGACCCCCCAGCCGGCACCAAGGACCAAGACCACCACTCAACCCCCAGACATCTACACCCAACACCAAGACTGCACCGAGGAACCCCACATCCAAGTAATGAAAACACAAACACAACCAGGTTCTTCAATTCAATTCAATTCAGTTCAATTTATTTGTATAGCGTCAACTCATAACAAGTGTTATCTCGAGACACTTTACAAAGAGCAGGTAAAATACCTCACTCTTTGTCTGTTAACATTACAAAAGAGCAGGTAAAAAGACCTTACTCATTGTTATGTTACAAAAAGCAGGTAAAAGACCTTACTTATTGCTATATTACAAAGATCCGGCCTATCCATCATGAGCACTTTAGCAAAGCAGCAAAAGTTACAGTGGTAAGAAACAACTGACTTATTAAAAGACAGAAATCTTCGGCCGGATCCCCGGCTCATGACGGAACAGCCTTCACAGGCCTAGACTGCGCCAGGGTTGGAAAGGGATAGGGGGAGAGATGGGATAAGATGCAGGAAGAGGGATAGGGAGCAAGGGGGTGGGGGGAGGCAGACCGTCCATCAACAGTCCGGTGGGGAGGGGTGGGGTTGTTCTGGCAGGCCGTCAACCAAAGATCCGGTGGGGAGGGGGTAGGGGTGGGGTGTATTAAAGGGAGATATTGAAGTGTTGCTGTATGACGTATTTATTCATAGACAGTTCATCACCTACAGCCAGAACACCATCCCCAAAAGCAAAGCTCTGCAGCTGGGTTTGGAGCAAGATGTTTTCATGTTCAAGACCTTTTCCACATGATTACTACATACAGTACAACGTTGCAGTTTGATTACAAGAAATGATCTATCCTGTACTTATTTTTTCTGAACTATGTGCATACATTAATACTGTAGTTAAAACACTGATTATTGACAAGTGTTAATTATGTCCTGGATAAATAATTGAGAACCACACTCAGTACCGTAAGAGAATTTGCTGTATCTGAGGCTGCACAATAAAAGTCAAATTTGAAATCCTAATAAGGTTTGTCTTGATAGAAATAGGGAGAGAGAGTGGGTTAACTGAATGTAATCCTTTTTTTGCAGTTTTTTCCTTTGTTACTCAAATTTGGATGAAACATGTCTGACATTATTGTGTGTGAATATATATTGAGTAAATAAAAACTGTTTCTATGTTTCTTTAGGACCCCTCCTTTCAGCTCTGATGAAGAGTCTGAAGAAGAGGACACAGACTCAGAGGAGGAACAGCCGTACAAACTCCAGAGCAGAAAATCACTACAGCCCAGACTTAACCAGGCCAACCCTGTCCAAATCAAAACAGGAAAAGCAAATCCACAGCCACTCGTGACTAAGACAGTCGTCTCAAAGATAGAGAGTGATGTAGAGGACTTTGATGAAGATTGGTCAGATGTGAGTGAGCTCCAGGAGATCGACCCTGGACGACTTCAGAGTCACAAAGACCAGAATGGGAACATGGATAAGAAAAGCTTTGGTCAAGGTCTGTAACCCTATTCCTACATCATACATTTAAACAAAAAGTGGCAGCAGGAGACCAGCTACTCTTCCTTGAGGTTGCTGAATTTATAAATGGCATCTGGTGGCTTTGAGGAGTGTGATGTAAGCGGTATTTCTGCTTTAAAAAATCCGTAGATAAGGAGATCAATAAGTTGTGTTCTTGTGAAAAAGTTAGTTATCACATGAAAATGGATTGATTAAAATATACGGAATCATGTCCCCTTAGGGCTTCTGTACTAATCGTCTTCTGTAATATATTTTGCATTTAGAAATCAAATGAATCTTTGAAAAAAATGTCATTGTAGATATTGTTTTTACTGTTTTAGTTGATTTGGGTTGCTTCCCATTTGCCATTTTTGTTCACAGCAGGACGCTGATTTAGTGAAAAAAGATATTTGGTAACATGATTTAAAATTAAACCGTTAAAGTAAATGTAAGAATTTTCTGTTTCTTTTAGAGAACAAAATCGATGACTTGGTGAGAAAAATGGAGAAGCAGTTTGTAGACAGAGGTTTGAAGAAACCAGCAGGGGGCGTCAGCATCATACCAGGGATGAGGGATGAGGTTCAGGAGCTGACGGTGAGCCTCTTCCAATGACGGACCATAATGCACTTCTTTATGCCCCAATGTTATTAGATAATTTGTTATAATTCCATATTTGAATTCAGTGTAAGCATTGGACTTACTTTGCTGGATGTTCCTGAATAACTTTTCTGTTTGTGGGGACAGTACACAGATCTGGAGGAGAGCAGTGAGTGGTTGGCCTCCTCCTTAGAGGACAGAGTGGAAAGGTCCAAACCAGCTCATGGCTCTGGACCAATCAGGAAGAGCCTGGAGTCATCCATCACCAGCGTTTGGGGAACCTCGACAGGAAAGGCTACCAAATCAGGTTAGTCCATCTCATCTGGTGTGGCTACATTTTAGATTTGTCTGCGGTAAAAAGTAACAATGGTTGGTTGTACGCTCTGCAGGTCTGACTGAAGCTGGAACAGCGAGCACCTTGAAGAGCAGCCTGTGCTCCCTCAGTGACATCAGCGACTCAGAGGAGATGAGCAATAAACACAATAAACGATACGGCTGATCAGGTGATGCAGCCGAGCACAGACACCTTAGACCTCAGTCAACTTCTCTGAAATTTACAGGGAACACCAGATGGCCTGAGTATACACATGGATGCTTCTACACAGACAAAGCAATACTTTTAAAGGGAGACAGTTTTTTGCATATAGAAAAAAGCTTTTAGTTATCTCTAACTAAATAAGTTAGAGATAAATAACATTACAGATTTATTTTATAGTTCCACTCTATGCCTTGTGCCAATTCTTTGCTTGCCTTAGACCTTTTTCAGTGTTTTGTTTATACATGTTAATCTTACCTGCACTCCAAATGAGACTGTATGTAGTTTGTGTGAAATTTTGTACATCAACTTTTTATAACGTCTTCACGTTTAAAATGAAACAATGAGATGTGATTTTGTATAGAAAATATTTATACCAGCAATAAAAGATTACTTTGTGAAACGCATAGTTATCATCTGAACACACATTACTTTCTATAAATGCCAGAGCTTCACTTTCACAATACACTCACAGCGTTTTTTTTCTAATAGGTCAGACATGAGGGTCTGTGAGGTTCGGGGTCTTGGTGCCGGGTCAGGCTTGAATCGTTGCATTCTTCAACAAAAACTGGCAAAACTTTCTGTTCTGTCACTATTTGTCTCTTTGAATACCATTGGCAAATTCATGCAGTGTTAAGTAATTTAAAGTGACATGTACACGTTAGAAGGTCTCCATTACACCATGCTTTATTTACCAAACATTTCCATCTATCATGCAGTCTTCAGATTGGACCACTCACTTTGAAATCACCATATATTTAATGTACTTACAAAAACACAGCATTTTTGATGTCGAACACCCTCACCCTCCTCTGATTCAGATTCCCCCTTTTCTAGCAGATATGTGGTTGTAATGTGTTATTACGATCAAAAGTATCCTCTCTTTTTTTTTACCAGAAGCAATATTGTAGCTGCCCTGCTGTTTTGTTGTTTGTCCGGTGATCTATAAGTCCCATGACTGATCAATGCACACTCTCCTGAACACATAGGTAAACAACGCTAACTCATATCATAGCCTTTGATGCAAATTCTCTGGAAGAGGAGAGATGGAGTTTTGATCAAACTTTCTTCTCTTTTGTGATGACCATTCAGCCGGCTCTCAATAAACAAAGCATGAAAAAAAATAAAACCATTAACAATCAGTTGATTAGCTTAGCACATCATATCGTGTTGACACAGAAGCAAACAATCAACATGGCTATGCCTGAAGTGAAAAAACAAAACCTGCTAACTTGTGAAGTTTGTTTAGTGTGTACAAAAACAAATGTGTGACATCAGCCTTGCCTTGAGGGTTGTAGGGGCCTGTCAAGAGTCGCCTGACATGAAATGTTCCACTGAGATCATAAAGAGTCATTTGCCATTTTTTTACAGATGAAACACACATGATATAATCATTGAATGAATGTTGTTCTAAAGAACTAAACAACAGAAGGTTTGATTTTGTGACCTGTCAACAAAGTCAGGTTAACTGTTTCCCCAATGGTTCCAGTCTGTATGCTAAGCTAGGCTAAGCTAATTGAATTCTGGCTCAATATTCAAACATGTGTCAAACATTTCCTTTTAAGTCTTTTGAGTCATTTCTCGGTTCAGAGTCTTCTGGTTCAGACAAAGCTGTCCCTGCTAAAGGTCTGACCAGTCTTTGTTGTCCCTCTGGTTCCTCTGGTTGCTCTGCTCTTCCTGCCTTCATAATACAGCGGGGGCACCAGGGTAACTCTGGACGAGGAAGCTGGCAGCATGTAGGTCCTTCTGGTCCGGGCGCTGGCGTATGTGCCTGGTCTGTGTGGCTTTTTTTCAGAACTGTTGACGCAAATGAAAATACACTACAGTAAGTGATGTATCTCAGTTTTCCTCTCATGCAGTCATTGTTTGTTTTTGGCTTTGATTTTATCCAAAGTAAAGGTAGTCGCATAACTGGCTGATAAAATGTTATTATTATTATAAAGGCAAAAAACATGAAAGCAAAATATTCTAAGTTTCATACTGACCTGGATGGTAGGCCTTCTTTTCCAGAGAAGTAAGTCAGCACCCCCCCTCCAGACAAGAGAAGGATGGAGCCTCCCCAGCCAACAAAAACTGCAGCTCCAATTTCAAATCTAAGCAGCAAGTATTGATGTATAGAATGAGTTGCTGTTTGCTTTATCCTCACTTTTTATGCTTCAGCTTATTATTACGATGTTTCAGAAATACTCACTTCTGATCCCTGAAATTTGGATCCACGAATTCTGATACGATTTTGTTGGCCCACCACGAGTATGTGATCATACCACAGAATCCTAACAGAAAATAAAGAATACTTAAAGCCGCCTAAGTGAATAACATACAACACAGTGTAATTCTTTATTATTTCTTACCTGAAGTCAGGTAGGTTAAACCACCTGCAAAGGTCACCCTTGCATTTGCAACCTCTGATCCACCGATTTTAGTGCACTTCATCCCTACGAGTGTGAGGACGCCTCCGAAGAAGCCAGTGATGACGGCACAGACGGCGAGTGCTCTGCAGGCGTGTAGGAACACTGAAAGAAGAACAGGTGAAACTTAAAGCAACAAACATTTAAGAAATTAACATGTATTAAAAAGTGATTTTATTCTGTCCTATTATAAGATTATTAGGAGATGTCTGTCAATGAAAACTCTCCAAGTTAAGTCAGACTCAGTAAGGGACTGTAAACAAATAAGTATAGGGAAAGTTTCTTTGAGATTCATTATTAAAAAAAATAAAAATAAAGTCAAGGTGAGGCAGCTGATTGACAAAGAAAGCTTCTGTTTTATGTTTGACTGTGTGCCCTTTAAGAAACTGGGAAATACGTCTAAGCATCATGCTGGTTTTAAAGAATGTCAGAAATTGAATCGTTTGATGGTTAACTCATTTATTAAGTAGTGTCAGGGTTAGGCGGGAAATTAGTATTATTTCAAACCACAGATCAGCTGCTCGTTTTATAATTTTTAATCTTTCTGTGGTTCCTTTAACTCTACATTACATCTACTTCAAACACATACAGAGGGTGGTTCAAAAATTAAACTTAATACATTTTTCATGTAATTATTTAAATAAACACACATTATTTTGAGACATTAGGTCAGAGGGAATCAATGGGAGAGACTAAGCAAAACAATTTATTTTACCCCAGGAAGAGTTAACTATTTCACTTAATTAATAGAATATTTAATAAATAGCTCACCCCGTCCCGACTATAATCATTTTCATACAGTCCTTAAATATTAACAGTTCAGAATAAAGGCTAAATACAAATTGTAGGTCTGGCAGTTTCCTACCTGGCAGGGCCAGCATGGAGGGGTAGTCCTTGCAGTCGGACACCCCCGTGGTGTCAGAGACACAGTCCCTCCACAGGTTGGAGTAGTAGTTGCCGGTGGTCAGCACGATGGTCCCCACCTCAGAGAAAGTCCAGTACTCTGTGGGGAGAGTGGAACAGACCAGGATCCATCCACACAGACACGACACGAAGCAGCCGATCTCCATATACATCACCAACGTCCTGTACTTCATGGTGAGCGTTTCTCCTCAAGCAAAAACTATCAAGCTGTGTAAAATTCAAAGTTTGAACAACCCCTCACTGTGGGAAACTGGTCTGAGCTGATTGTTAAGTCATTGTTGATGCTCAGGTGTCGGAGCAGCAGTGTGGAGGGTTGGCTTCTTTCTCATCTTATCTTTGAGATGGTTTTGCCCAGTAAGCATCCTCTATGGTGAAGGATGACAACTTGCTTGATTGCACTTCGGTTAACCCTCAGGTTTTCTTTAACCCCCTCATGTTTCAAAATTAACATATTTTATGGCAATTTCTCACAAAAGTCAAACCCAAAATGTAGTGAGATATAAAAGTGCTTCCTTCCCTTTTCTACATCATGAAGTTAGCCAAATACAGAAAGTACCATAAACATTGTGATGACATCAAAAACAATATTTCATGTTTACGCTTTTTTTTTTTTTTTTTTTTTTTTAGCAAAATCTGCACAAAGCAAAAATACTACATTTAATAAAACTGTTGAGAATATGACATCATTGAGGCTGCTGTGAACACCACACACAGAAAAAGAAAATTCACATCCATTTTTTAGAATGTTCATCTAAAGTCTCTTGGCTCTAACACAGAAGTCATTTTTTGCAACATGACATCATCTAAAGCCTGTGTCGTACAACAAGGACAAATCATGAAGCATCAAGCTAACTCAACTTCATTTGGTTTTCTTCTTAAAGCTTCTCCAGAGCGCCTTTTTGTCTGAAAGTTTAAAAAAAAGAAAATGACAAGAGGGAAACCTTTGTTTTCAATTTTTTATTTGATATACCAAGCAGATTTTTTCTGGCTTTTTTTTCACCATTCATGACATTTTGATGCTGCACAACAGTAGCCATACACACTGACTACAATGAGAGACAGTGGGATCAATATAATGTCACAGTCATTAAATAGTTAACTAAGGTAGCGTGTCACTATAAAATATGACCTACTAAATGATTCATTGTGAACAGCCTTGTTAATATATTTAATTACTTGATGTAGATGATACATTGGCGGGTGAGTCAGACCATTTACATCCGTCTCCAGTGTCAAACAGTCACAACATAAGCCATCTTGTTGGAAGAGATGTTTGTTAAGTCGTGTGATGTAATTGGCACACCGATGTGTTTATATTCATTTATTTTTCCCTTCCTTTCTCACAGATGAACGGAGCCATGGGATGTCTGCTGCAGAGAAAGCATTCTAACAGTGAACATTTTTTACTTTACTGGGAAGTTAAGCCCACAAAGCAACCCAACTTTAATAAAAAAAGTTTAAAAAAAACTTTTATATTGGATAACTCTGCGTGCAGTCGCACAGTGAACTGTGTAGCTGAGAAAAATGAGGCAACTCCCTACCAGGCCGAGGTACAGGGGCAGTCCTATTTCATATCTGCAGAGATAATATAAAAAAAAAGGCTTTTGTTTTGGCTGAACTCATCTTTTCTGATTAATGAGGGTTATTTAAAGAACACTTGGTACCTCTGTTTTGCCGGATCTGCTTTGACGTGTAAAAAAGCGCCAACCACTGTGTTTATGTATAAACAATAACCAGCCAGGTCTGATGCGCCTGCATGAGGGAAACAGCACAGCCATGACACATGGGAAAAAAATAAGAAGAACCAGTATGAAGGTGTACTGAACGCTGCTTCCACAACAGAGAGGAGGTAATGCAAACAAGTCATACTCACAGCCCACCAGATGGAAAGCAGATGCTATTATTAACATCCTGTCCTTACTCCATTCCAAAAAACGTGAGGACTGTGCCAACCAATCCGAGGCACAGACCAATCAACAGGAGCCCCCTAACTGCCTGGATGTATGCTTATAACAGAAAGACATTTACCTGATTTAACTAAAGCTGTGTACACACAATCAGTAATTATTTCTCTTTGTACCCACATTTGACCGTCCACAGAACTCCAGAAGTCTACACAGTTCACCACAGCTGTGGAGTCTTCATAGCAGTCCTTCCACAGGTCAGACCAGTACAAAGCTGTCACCACTACAGAGGACTACCCAGCTGAGCCACCCTCCAGTGACAGGAAATGATGAAGACTTGTGTTATATTTACAAGAATAAACTGTAAGTATGGCAAAAAGTTCTTCTGCTCTTTAAAGGGGCAGAGCAATTATTTAGAAGTGCAACTGATAACATTATCTAAGAATTAAGGCCTAAATATTATTTTTAATACAAATATATAAATTCAGTGAAGCTCTAAAAACACTGGATACTTAATTTCACATAGTTCACTCAATAGCATCTGTTAATGATGACATCATACTTTCAAAACTTTGGAAAGCTCATGAACGGTCAACTAGGAAATTCACAACAAACTACTTGTCCTTCTAGTTTTTATTCAAATTGACAAAAGTCTTTTTTCAGAAGTTTTTTTATTGAATATTATTGAATTTTTTTTTATAATAAGGGACATTTGATGAAACCATGTATTAATAATGACACAAAAATATAAAACACAATGTAATATATTTAAGTAAAACATAATAAAGTTAGAAAAATCCAATGACATAAAGTGACTTTATTGTGACACATTTTTCTAATATATAATTTATTATCTTTTATTCCACCAAAATAAATAATTTCACCCTCAATTCCAACATTGTTTTATACTTTGCAATGATAGAAGTTTCAGACTCTGACATTGTCCTAGTTAAAGCACAAGCACAGTCTGTGCATCAGGTACATTCTCTCTTTTTGTGTTCTCTTATTTGCTCACCTCCAGTGGTCCATAGCTAGTGTGCAGCCCACAAAGCACCAGCCCAGTGTGCAGAGCAGCAGGCCCAGGATCTGAGCATGTCTCCTCCACATGCCCTCAGTCTGCTGAACAGAGGAGCCTTCACCAATCAACTTGAGAGGTTAACGAGAGTGGAGATGCAGAGCTGGTAAAGCCAAATGTCTCTTATTCCTTCCTACTCTGTAAAGGAAGTGGTCGCTTGTATATAAGAAAATAAAATCCACGAGAGTGTGGCTTTGTGTTAGAAATCTGTAAAGGAGCAGTCCTCTTCCAGCAGCTGCTCCGGTGGATGTGAACTGATCTGAATAAAACCAAGTAGACTGTTTACTGTCAACCAGACAGGAGAAGCCTGCTGGAGTTTTATTTGTTTTCTAAGGAGACAGAGGCTCATAGGATGATTAGAAGAGTCCCTTATACCTTGAGTGTAAGATGATGGAAACAAACATCAGGCAAAAAATTACATTTTCAGCAATAAAAACACATTACACAAATTTGATTTCATCATCATATGTATGAAATGAATAAAAAAACAAAGTCCATGAAATTTCTTATAATCAATCATTTAAATATAAGAGTTCTTGATAAATGGCGTAGTCTCACTCCGTGAACTTCCTGACGACACCGTCCTGCTGCTGCCGCTGCTCCTTGAAGACCGTCTAGACTCTGACTTTGACCCCACAGATCCTACAGACCTAGCTGTCTCCCGTGTCTTTGTTGAGCGCCCTGACTTGGTCGTGAGTCCAGATTTTGAACTGCGTTCTGATCTTGAGGAAATGTCGGACACACCTGAGCCCTCAGTCCGGGACGATAGCTCGGACACAGAGGACAGTCTGGTCTTTGAGCTGATCCCGGACACAGTGGACAGAGCTGTTGTGGACTTGTTTTGCTCGGGATCGGGTTGTGGCGGGACAGTGATGACTCTGGAAAGACAGATGTAATATTGTCAACCATGACAGCGTGAAAACATGACATCAAAGTATAGAGGAATTCATTTCCTGTTATAAGATACGTGGGTGGCGTTTGCAGATTCACAGACAGAGCAAACACAGGTCAAGAGTCGATTTCTGTTTGTTATGTAAGTCAAAACTGTTTTTAATCACCACCAATTACAGTATCTATTTTTCTTTTTGTTCCTTTAATGCTAAATGCTAACCAGCTAGCTCCAAACGTGTCTGTTGTTAGTACTGGCAGCTGGTAAACACTTGACTGATGTCATCAAAACAGCAACATAAATTCAAACAAAGATCTAAAAGATACTTCATCTTCACGGGAGAGATGAGGTTAAATTCTTAGCAGCTTCATCACTATTTGACCACTTTCAGATATATTTAGCTTTGCGATCAATCATTCCATTAATATAAATAATTGATTTTCTATTGCAGTTTAAGTATAACTTGGTTGATGCCATGTTTTGGCAGCCTAGATGACTAAAGAGTGCTGCAGCAAAGGTCAGCGCTGCTCTTGGAGCTCTTTATCGACCCTTACATACAGACTTTTCTTTACTCATTAGATCATGCAAGGTTTTCAAATGTCAGACCTCTGTTTTGTCTTAAGGGTTAGTGTATAGTATAAGAGAGAAAGCAAACAAAATCATCTGCTCCACTAAGAAAGCCTCAAACACTTCCCCTCGTGTGTTTTTCCTATGAAGCACACAGGGCGATGGTAGCCTCGCGTCTCCACTTCCTCTATAAATATAGAGGAAGTGGAGACGCGAGGCTTCTCCTGACTTGTTGCAACAACATCACTCACATGACTTCTCCTCCACAGAGCGGCGTGCACACTGACCACACATAGAAGAAACCACCGGTCATGTGAAAGGCTGAGCCGACCCAGCCAAGGAAGATAGGGGTGCCAAGGTCGTACCTGTTAGTGTTAGAAAAGTGAGTTTAAAAGATTGAACTTTATTGAAGTAATTCTTGCAGAAAGAGCTTAAACAGGTCAAATGAATCTTCTAACTTACCTCAGTCCGTCAAATTCAGGGTTGAAGTATTCTACTGAGACGTACTGAGCATAAACGGCATACCCACATATTGAGAGCACACCTGAGATTGTGTTTAGAGACAGAGAAGACAATAACAATAGTTAAAGCCAGTCGTTTATTGACTGATTATCACATATTTGATTCTTTGGATGAAGACCTTTTACATTGTACAAAACCAGACCTTACCGGCAATAATGTGGCACCATCCACCAGCGTAAATCTTCTTGTACTTTGACCGATCCTTTCCTCCTATAAAGGTGCATTCCATCCCCAACAAACTCAGCACAAATCCAAGCATTCCCAGGGAAAGAGCCCCCATCAGCAGGCCGCGCACTATCTGGATTGAGCCTGAAGTCACACAAAAAGACAATAATTACAGCAGCAGCTGAGATTGTAAAATAAGGTGGAGAATTAGCTTCTTACCGTCCACAGACCAAAGAACAGGGAAGTCGTAACAGTTGCTGACAGCAGTCGAGTCTGTAAAACAGCTTCTCCAGAGGCTGGACCAGAACCAGGCCACCGTGAGGATGGAGGAGCCGCCCATGCCTCCAATGGAGGTGATCTTCCAGCCCTCCATGGCCATGGTGCAAGCCACGAAGATCCAGCCCAAAACGGTCATGAGGAAACCCCAGATCTGAACCACACGGATCTTCATCTCAAGGCTTCTTGTGAGTTAATCTCCAATCTAGATGTTAGATACAATTAAGCTCAGATTTCTGATTCTTTTTTCTTCTTTGTTTCATCCCTCACTCATAGAGAAGATTCCATCCTGAGCCTCTACTCTTCAGCCAAATTTCCTAAAATGTTAAAAGTGTCCTCGTGTTGAGCTGCTCCTCTCAGAAAAAGGAAAAAGATGAGCATCCGCAAATCAGGTGTGTGCTGTTGTTTTGAAGGTGTAACAGGACATGAGGGTGAGAGACAACAGTTGCTCAGGTTCCCATGAGCCACGGTTGAATCTGGAGAGTGCTCACCTCAGCAAATATCTCCAGTTACCAAAGAAACATCACGCCCTCATTGGACTGACCTGGACCTTTCCCTCAAGAGCAGTCACAGATAATATCTGTTTATAGCATGAGTCATACAATTCTGTAATAACTAGCACTGCAAAGTCAGTTTAATGTCAGATATCCTACATTTTGAAATTAAGGGGAAAATGCCTGCACATGCAAAATTATAGGAGTGTTCGTGCAATTTTCTGTTGTGCTCACAAAAAATGAGGGGACTCACAAAAGTCTGCGTGAAAGAAGGATGGTCCAAATTTAAGTAGTCGTAGTCAAACTAATGCCACTTATATTTTGCTCAATTATGCAGCTCAAAAACTGAACAGCAACATCAGATCAGACATGAAGAATCTAGATCAATAAAAGATCATAAATAAAAACCCCAAAATATACATAGCAACATGTGTGATCAGGGTCAAATTTAGTATTGGATAGATGATAAACAAGAAAACAGAATCACTCTTTTTTTTTTAATCTCGTTTAAAAGCTACTTTCAGCGCTAACAACGATGATATGCATCAGTTGTCACAATGTTGAAATTATCCTCACCAAAATGTAATAAAAGTGTATATATTCTGTCCTTTATTTTCTTAACTTAATTGCTGAAGATTAAGCCGGTATTACTGCAGTAATGACCTTTACATGTTCATGTTATAACCCCACATAAATAACCTAAGCATCGTCCTCAGGCCTTAAGCTTCCAGTTATTAGTCATTACATGTGACCTCACGGTGCGGTGGGTCTTATAGAACAGGCTAACATCTCTCTGCTGTTCTAATGAGAGTTAACTCTGAGCTAATGAGAATAAGGGACAGTGATGAATGTGGGTCAGGGATGAAAGAGCTGCTCTTTGTCTCTCAGATGTCTCGGCTTATGACCAAGTTATGGGCGGTGGTGGTGGGGAGATATTTGAAATGGTTAGACCGCTGGCTGGGTAGTCTTAATTTGTTTGGTGAGGCTGAATTTAATTAGCTTTGATTAGCATGAAACAAAAGAAGAGACAAAAATGAACAACAAATGAGTTTATGAGCTGAACGAGGTTTTAATGAATTCTCATCAAAACTTAAAAGTCAATCCTATATGGATTTAAAATGTTCCTCAAGCTGCCTGTTAAAAGCACAAAGGTCATAGGACACAAGTCTTATTATGAAGTTTCCTCAGATTGTAGAACATTAAATTTAACATACAGTAAATACTGCTCTCTAGTGGCGTGATATTAGAAATGGTGAAGACTGCTATCCATCATATACCATTTAAAAGGTGTTTTGTTGCTTGTTTCCCCACAAAACAGTTTTCTTTACCTGGCACCTTGAAATGTTGAATGTAAATAATTCTTGTAATGTAATGCAACACTTCACAGATTAGACCAACACTCGCCCATTTCTTCTTTTTATTGAGCCCCTGTTAACTCTGCTGAACATATGGATTCTTCAAACATACATTTTTAAAAGTAGAGTTCATTCCTTATTTTATTTTAAAGTAACAGTAGTGTTTAAAAATTATGACTTTAAAAACATGAGCCTGTGATGCAGATTTTAGAATTTTAAATATACAGACATTCATGGTCCCTAGAGGAATCTTCCAACTGCGCTCATAACACCTAACTGTTCTTTCAGTGGCAGCGACTGCTTAAACTGAAACAGTGACATTTCCAAACATTCATAATAGTGAAAAGCATAATTCTGTACAGACATTCATGGTTCCCTGATCATGTACCCTAACACGTGTGCAAGTTTCCAAGAGCACAGCAGGTTTTCTAAACGTATTCCCATCAGCCGTAGCTGAGCCTAAAGGTTGTGTCCTCGCTGAGCTGAGATGATGAAAAGAGACATTTAAGAATATTTTTTAAATATGAACAACAAGGTTAGTCAACTCATGACCCCTGAACACATCAGTTGACCTCATGTTTGGGTCCGAGTTGGAAATCTAACGTGTAGATTTTAATTTTTTGCTTTATGAGATAAAAAAAAAAAAAAAAAAAAACATGCTGTAAATTTAAAAGGATATTCCTACCTCTGAACCTTTGAATGAAGCAATTAAATCAAGGACAGTTTAGGGAAAAATAAATTCCAATATTTTCAAATGGGGTATTTTCTTATTTTACTCAAAAGTAACCTGGATTGAGAAATACTAAGTTTGATTTGTATCAGATGTAATATATTCAGAACTTTTCTGTCAAAGGAAAGTCATTGCTGAAAGAACCTTAATGCTTTACACTTTCTATTTTAGCATTTCTTTCTTTAATGCAGGCCTTAAACAACACAATACTCCCCTTATGTCATTGCACTGGTCAGACGTCAGGACACCTGACACTTGTTTACGGATGCAATGCACCAGGAAGCACAGGGCAGCAGCTCCCTGCCAGCTGGTTCAGGTATCAAACCTCTGGGCCAAGAGGTTTTGCGTAACATAGCCTTGGGAGCCTATTGATAATAATTCAGAGGTGCAGATGGATGGCTGATAGGAGGGGAAACCTCCGGTCGGGCCTCCAGCTCTGCAGGGCCATATCTGGGGTCCGATTTGACCTTGTGACCCTCAGAGGTCACATGAGTCAGGCCGTCAGAAGATGTATCTCTTTGCTTAATAAATAGAAACAGATGCAACTTTCAAATAAATGTGTCTTATATTCTCTCAGGACAGGAAACAATTAATTGTAATAAAATTATGAATACCAAGCTTCTAAAAGAAATACGCTAATATTAAAGGCATGTTGCAAATGCATAAAATGTCAAGAAAACTGCATTCAATGACGTTGCCTTTAATGGAAAAATACAGAAATCATGTAAATAAAATAAAAACACAAAATGTACAAAACTGTTTCATTCATATGATAAAAGCTGTAGCAGAAACCTCCTGCACTTTTTAATTGATGTTAATGCTTTAAAATGTCTTTTTAAACTCTACAGCTGATTGTGCTGTGTCTCCAAAATGATATAACAGATGTAATGTGTGTTTGCTAGACAGGCAGGAAAATTGAGCTTGATGAAGGTGACCCCAGAGTTTGAACAGAGTTTTGTGCCAAATCAAATTTCCTGAAACAAAAAGCTCTCTCACACAGGCCACTGATTCAAATGATCCAGAAAATCCACCATAATTCAAGTCACATTTGGCCATTTACAATCAATACGATGAGTAAACTCTTACATTAATGACATTTTAAATTCAGGTAGATATTCATAGATGTTTGTGCTGTCGGTCTTGAAACACTAGCTGGTGACCACAAACTATTCAGGATCAATTCCACAATAACTCATTTGACACAAAAAAAACTGTTTTATTTTTACACATAAGCATTCCTTCCAAACTGCCTCGTCGGCTGCCCTGGTTCTTTGTGAGGGCTGTTGGCTGTCTTGATGTGCTTGTTGCGCGTCGTCACAAATGATGCAGACCCTCTGTAAGAGTACTCAGCCCTGCAACAAGAACAAAAAGGGGCCTTAAAAAGCAAAAACATACTCTGATAAAATTTTTTTCAGGCAACGCTCCAATATCAATAAACCCTGACAGGAAAAAGAGAGGTGATATTTCAGAGTAACAAGTGGATAGTCACAGGATTTCTGTGTCAAACTAGTGGCTCTAACAATGTAATAATTTGCACCACCTCCCACTTATCTTCTATCTGTAAATAACTTCCTCAAATATAACAGGAAGAGTCTTCAGACACATTCATGTCAGCATGCTAACACTCTTATTATTACAATCATATCATACTCAATTTCCAGAGTGTTTATGTTTACCATGTTAACTGTAGGCACAGGAAGTTATTTCCAATTCATTATTATTACATTATATATACAAAGCATTGCCATAGGCCCACGTTTGCGAATCATTTTTCAGTGCATTTTTTATTTAAAACATCATAGGAATTACTTGATCTTTGTTCTACTGATTTGTGGGATTTGAGGTTTTTTGTCGGTCCCATGCAGAAGTGCTGTAACTTTGGTGTTATAAAAGTTACATTCATGGTTCCCTGATCATGTATCCTAACACGTGTGCAAGTTTCCAAGAGCACACGTGGAGGCCAGCTGAGGCCATTCGCTTTGCAGATAGTTGGTTATTTGAGTTTAAGATGCTGCTAGCTTAAATTAGATCACCAAAGGTTATCTTGGTTTTTCGGGTGGGGACCATGAATGTCTGTACAAAATCTGTTATCTCCTAGCATGGCAGAAGCTTCCATCCCACTTTCATATTAGGTTAGTAGAACACAACATGAAGGAGCTGTTTTATTAAAGGTATAGCTACGAAAGAGAAGTGCTCGGCCAATAAATGGATAAATCCTACATCCTTTATTATTGTTGCTCTGTTGCATTAACCACACTATGCAGAGCAATACCTGACCGTGAAAGAATCCTGCCCAAGGATGTCAACAAGAGAGAAAGTTTATATCCTTTTACATAATTCCCTATAGGGGCCCTCAGTCAAGGTGACTTTCATTTCGCAATAGTCCTTATTACTCTACTGCAACAAAGGAAACATTCAGCTGTAATCCCTCACATACTTAATAAAAATAACCATCGTGCAATTTGCCTTGTAGGTTCAGCACTTATGAGACAAGATGTTGAGAGAGATTACTGACTGTTTTCTCCTTTAACCTCCTCTTCAGTGCAGTTAAAGTCATTATTTAAATTGCTTAATTGGGTTATCAACTCATTGCAGTTTACAGTCCGTCCAAATCAGATTTACTCCGAGCCCTTGTTGCTGATGATGACAGATGTGGGATCACATTGTCAGCATGCGGTGCGTCTGGAAAAATCAAGCAACCTGCCTCAAACTGAAGCCTTCAGACAGGGAGAGACAGAAGACAAGTCCTCCGAGGATACACAGCACAGATCCGGCCCAGCCGATGAAGAGAGCTGCTCCAAGTTCGAACCTGAAGGAAAAATATGTATGGCAAGTATCCCTTTCATATAATTGGAGTTTTAATCTGCAATCAAACAAATATTCAAATAACAATTGAAACAAAAACCTACTTCTGAGCAACAAAGAGAGGGTCAAAGAAGTCTGTTGTGATCCTGTGTGCATATATGGAGCATGCAGAGATGCAGCATAGGCCTAAAGAGAGAAATAAGCCAATTACCACTTCAGAACTGCAAATCTTGCTCTAACCAAAGTTCAAAGATTTCATTATGTAAAGCAGTTTAACAGTAGGTTTTACCACTCAGAATGAAGTGGATGCCAGACAGGACAGTCAGACGGGCCTTGGTGGTCTCAGCACCTCCTATTTTTGTGCACTTCATTCCTACTAAGGCGAAGATGGCACCAAAGAAACCCAGACATACGGAGGCGATCATGAGACCTCGGCACACCTGGATGTAGGCTTCATGACGGAGGTAGAGAGATGAGGTCAGTGCTTTACATGAGTCGCTCACAACCTTTCTGGCCTATATTGAAACAAATGTCTTACAATGTTATTTATAACACCAAAGCTACAGCCTAAATGTGAAAACTTGTTGCTTTGTTAGTTCTTGCTTTCTGATTTTAACAACATTTAAAGACAATTTCCAGTTTCCAATTTCATGACACTCTGGTCCTTTATTACACATCCAACACAGTTGCAGATTTTCTGTTTTGAAAGCACCTTCACAGCTCAAAACACTCAGTAGGTAGAGCATGTCTGCTTAAAGTCTGAGTGAACAGATTCAGACATTTGCATTCACACGTGCACCCCGACCAGACAATAGGACAAGGACATTTAAGGAGTGCAGTGCATGTGTGAAAATTTGGTGTTAAATTGTTAACACTCTGTGTACCACTCAATTGTGCACCTCTGCTAACTTTAAACTTGTTGTGGTCGTTTGTGGCAAAGAAAGTATCGAGTTCTAAATGTATTTGTTACAATGGTGGTCATTCATCGAAGACCAACAGGTGACCAACATCTTGGCATCATTGCTCCAGTCATAAGTTAAAACGCAGTTCCTCAGAAAATTGACAGAGACAGATATGTATTTGTATATCTGCTTTTGACCCCAAAAAGACACATTTGAAAACTGCTACAGCATTTGAACTCACCATCGAGGGCCAGCATTGAAGGAAAGTCCTTGCAGTTGGACACGCCAGTGGAATCAGTCACACATGTTTTCCATAAATTGGACCAAAAGGTAGCTGTGGTGATGACTGTCCCATCCACAGAGGACACCTTCCAGTAGTCTGTAGGCAGGGTGGATGACACCAGAATCCAACCAGAGATAGTCAGAATAAAGGCAACAATCTCTGTTGCCATGTTGCCCATTTTTTTTCTGTGGCTTGGAGGTCCAAACTGGGACAGAAACGAGATCTCTCCTTCACGAGTGACAGAGAATTAGTGGGAGTGTCGGCCCAAGACTGGTGCGTCAGAGAGAATTTCTCTTCTCCTGCTCATTCACGCACCATACTTTTACCTGAATATCCCTCACCAAAGCACACTCGGTTATATTTTGTGCTTGTGTGTGGCAGGAGGGTGCAGGGGTGCACACACTAGTCATCACTCCACACAGTGTGCATGGGGTCTGCAAGGAGATCTGCAGGAGGAGGAAGTCTCTAATTGAAAGGATCTGAAAAGTCTTTGACAGGGAAGGAAGACAAGATGAGGAACTGAGATAGGGAAGTTTTTCATGGTGGATTATTGAATGCATGAATGGTTATGTTTTTTATGTTCATTTTCAGTTAAATTCCTATAATCATTTTACAATACAACATTAGATTTATATTTACGCATTTCCTACCATATGGGCAGCAATAAATTAAAGCCGTACAGAGATAAGAGATTGGTTCTACACTGCAGCGTTATAGCTCCATCAAGTGGCCAAATAGGAATGTAGCAAGCTTTCTGAGAGTCCTCACCTTACTAATATATTGCATCAGTGCCTCCATTTATAATCCTGTGTAATTCTCAAAAACCCCCAAAAGATTAGCTTTTGGCTTTATTAGCTTTATTAATAGTTTCTTTTAACAGTTTTATATTGTTACACTATAACTTTATTAAAATAGACATAGTTCTAAAATATATTGGCATTCCCTTCAGCCTCAGCTTTTTATGGAGTTAGCTAATGTTTGCATGCTAAAACATTTCAAGCTCCTGTGAGGAGTTTTTTGCTGGTTATGAAACAGACAGAAATTTAAACAGATGCTTCTATGACCTACAAAAGAAATCAAGAGCATGAACAACAAGATAAATAACTTCTATATAATAATTTTGAATGTGTGTTAACACTGTTTCTGGCTAAGTGTCGGACAGAGTAAGTTACAGCAAGCTGTCAAAACTGCTGGGCGAAAACCCCAAAATATTTATTTAAAAAAAAAGGAAACGCGTTGTTCGACATATTCATAGTATTCACGAAAGATTGGAGAATAAACTGGCAAACTGACTACACATAAGTAGTTTCATTATGTGCACTGGGATTACGATGGTCACGCATCAGTCGCAGTATATAAATCTCAACACCCCCTCCCACTCGCTTTCAGTGAAGTTTCTTAAACATTTTCCTGCTGCGTTCTCCCCACAGACTGTATAAAACATGAACGCAGTTTCAGTGACGTCACCCACTGGTTTCTGCAGCACACCGTTGAAGCCCATTGATGGCGGTCATCATATTAAAAATGCCGTCTTGACCAAACTTTGGTGGTGACACATGCCGACCTCCAAGCAGATCAGTCACATCCCAATTTTGAAATTCTTATCCTGATAAACGGATGAGTTATAAAACAATTCACTCACCGTACAGTGTGTGCAGATAAAGACACGGGCTATTCAGACCAAAACCCTTTTTTTTTGCACCAGGCTGTAAACATGTTGATATCAGTGATAAGGAACATTTTGGTGTGTGAGGGATTTCTGGTTCATTTAAGTGGACACTTAAGGAACTGATCATGTGTTGTTAAAACAACAAAGGGCTCCAGCACAGAACAGAATATAACAACCACACTGAAAAGTAGCAGAGAACATTAACTAAAGAGGATGTTTGTGTGTTTGGGGAATTAATACCTGTTTTAATAAGCAGAGCTATACTCTGCTATCCATGTTATACTGGCTTCTCATATCTTGTGTTTTTTTTACATCTTTAAACCCGTGTTCGCCCTTCTTTATTATTTTATATTACAAACATCCTCACTGGCTCTACAGTTTGTGATCACTGCTCATTTGTATCTCTTGTTATATTCTGTTCTGTGCTGTTTTAGCGACACAGTTCATTGCTTAAGTTGACATAACCGGACTGTAATGGTTGGACAACATGATCTAATTTATTGTGGTAATTTTCAATAACAGGGAGATTAACAGAAACAACCCCGGGAGGCCAAACTTATAAATTCCCCCTTGAGCGGGGGGAATTAGCAATTGACTAGCTTCCTGTCCTGGTTCACAAAGGGCTGTCAAGCCCCGATCACAGAGTTATTATCGGATTGAACTTTGAGTTTTACATGGGGAGGAGGAACTGGACAAAGAGGGACAGGAGGAGTCGGAGAAAACATAATTATGTACGACAGAAAGTTAAAAAGTCACTGAAAGGCAGTTTGAAATTAAGAAGGAAACCTACCTGTTGGTGAAAACGTAATCATATGTAATCAACAGAATGACAAAGCAAGCCTGGTACTACTTAACCAACAAGGCAGCTGAGGTGTTTTTAAGGCTAATCAGAACTCAACAGGCGCTTCAAACTCGCCAAAAACTAGACTTTCTCTTAAAAAACTCTGTAGTGGTTTGGCTCTCCCGCCTTTATTAGATAACCTTTTCAAACATGGATTAAATCTAATTTGTGTTAGTACAGAAAGAAGGATTGTTTCAATAGCAAATGATTAGCCCCAATCACCTCCTGACACTAGTTGGCTCTACTGACCCTTTAGTTTTGGACAGTTCTTCAAGTTATAAAAGCTAGGACTCCCATTGCAGGTTAAAGAAACCCCAGGTGTTGAAATGTCTGTAAATGACAGCGAGAGGATCCAGAGAGCATTATTACCCAAATCTCTAGGCAGTTGAAGCCTCGATGGTGTCTTTCCAAGGCCGCTGTTGCTGAGCAATTTCAAAGGAGACCCTAATCCTATACACCTGCTAATGAAAGGGAAATGACTGGAACAGGTTGTTATCAGTGTTGATGACATCCCATGTACTGTAGATCATGGTAATGAAAAGATGACTATCTCACCTTTTCCATTTGTCTCAACATCACTCAGATTTATAATGCAGAATATGTTGTTTCTTTTATCCCCTCTGGTTATCTAATTGTTAAGTGAGATCATTTTTTAAGGCTGAATAACACATTTGAATTCAAGCAGTTGCCAAAAAAGATATCAAATAGAGTCTAACTTTTTTGATAAGATTTTGAGAACTTAAAGAGCCAAATCACTGCCTGTGATATTTTACAAAGTTAATATAAACCCATTATTTGATCTATAAAGCCTTAGTGACTTTGAAAATGTATTCGTTTAAATGGCATCAAAGCATTTCACATAACTTATGACATGTAACATAAATATGCCTCTATCAGACTTTCCTACTAACTATAAGTAGTTACACAGGAACACAGCCTTTGTACGTGGGGTGCGTGACAGCAAGGCTATCTGGCACCGCAGCCTCTATTAGAATTCTAGGAAAATGTGAAAACCATGATAATGTTTTAAATCCTATTATTACAATATTACATCCCCTGATATAACTGAATGATAATTAAAAAAAACAAATGTGCTGTCTTAAAACATTCAGATGTTTCGAACAGTTTTGAAACAACTTAGCGAGACAACCTATGAGAAGTCTAAAAGCTCGCTGTGTTTGTCCAGTCCATAATATGTGTCCTTCGGCAAGACATTTAACCCCAAGGTGCGCCCTTATTTGTAGCTGTGGTGATCGACAGATTTGTGGACTGGCACCAAAGTTGGGTAAAAAATGTTCTAGACTTTAGTCGTGAACAAGTATCTCCAAAGTAAATGAAACTTTGATCAGCCTTGGTTGTGGTTTCTGATAAAAGTTTCTATGTTGGCATGCTAAAATGATAAACTAACACGGTAACCGTTACACCTGCTTGTTGTCTGTTAAGCTGTCATCCTCATTCAAAGCTCGTCACTATGCTAATTAGGTACGTCTCTCTTAACATTTCTCCTTGTGCACTTACTAGCTTGCACTTAAATTGCTTCATGAGTTGCGATGAAAGCTATGCAAATAGACTTTGTGGGGGAGGTTTACTGTGTAATAAGTCTATGACCTTTTGACCTCTTTGACTTGTATTTATTTATCTAATGTTTTTACATGAAAATACAATCTACTCTGTCATGTTTTAGCTTTGAATATGTTTGCACTGTTTTGTCCCAACCACAGGTATTACTGATGAACACATTTCAGCTGAGCTGTCTGTTGTCAAACAGTGCTACTTACAGCTCTTCATGTAATCTGAACCATAATAATGGAACAACCTGCATTTTGTGAACTTTAATTTCAGTAGTTGAAGTGAGGATTTCTATCTTAAATTGAAGGGATAAAAAACAAACTGGTAAAATGGGTGGGGTGGGTGGGTTGGGAGGCTATCACTCAGCTGGGGTAGCATGGGAAAGGATTGTTGGTCCTGTGCAAATAAATGTTATTGAGACAAGTTCAGATGCTTTAATAATCACCTGCTGGCTTTTGTCCTTTGGCTGTTTTCCCAGTCGGTGTAGCTAAACAACAGGAAAATAAAGCTTGAGGTGTTAGGGCCAGTGACTCTCCAGTCTATTAGCTTTATATATCATCAGTGTTGGGATAAGAGTTTACCTTAGCTACACGAGACTGGATTTCGTTAAGGTTACTTTAACAATGAAATAGAAGTAGAGTGATGGGAATATAGCACAGGGAGGAGAGAATGAAGGTGTTTTAGGTCTCTTTATTTTCTCCCAGGTCTTTTATTTCAGTGCAGGAAACACCTGCAGTGTCAGGGGGCGTCTGTTATCAACAGACTTCTCTTTATTTATAGGAAATCCTGTGTGTGTGTGTGAGAGCATCACGTGTCTCCCTTTGTTTGTTGAAGGGATCAGGAAGATGATATGGAAAGTTTTATGATGCTCCTTTGCCATGAAGAAGACGTGATAAAATACTGACTAATGGCTTAATTGCCAAAGTCATGTCACACATATGACTTTGGCATATGGCACTCTCTACATTTCCTCTTATCAAGAGTAACACATTCTACTGGGAAGAGATAAAGTCAGTCTGGCCACATGACTGTACAACATACTGTGTGTATGTGTGCGCGCGCGCGTGGGTTTTTGTGTTTGTGTGTCTAAAATACAGACACTGACAGACAGTTAAGGGTCATTGGAAATTTTGCTGAGTAACTCTGACTAGTTCACCGCACTCCTCACACAACAGGAAGTGTGCTCCAGAATTTGAGGTTTTTTTTCTGCTAATACAGTTAATTATTTGAAATGTGTCTGGTTTTTGTGCATTAAAAAAAAAACATGATTTAAAAAATAAAACCAGTAATTTCTACTATCAAATAATCCCAAAAAACATAGAAAATATAAAAAAGCTAAACAAAATAAGT